AACTGAGCTGGATGTTGACATCACTGAATTCAATGATGAACTGTCTTTAACTGAAAAATGAGTGTTTACTATTGTCATTTTGCATTATTGACACTATTTTCCTAATTAATGCTGTTCAGTTGCTTTGTCACAATCTGTATTGTTAAAAGCGCTATATAAATAAAGGTGACTTGACTTGACATAAGGAGAATCTTTGCAGCTTATCTTCCCTCAAATCTTAAACATGCACACACTACATTAACTTGAGTAAAGCCCCCAGACCCCCTGCTCGTGACTCCCCCTGCCACCCCCGTACACGTTCAAAACTGAGGTGATTTCACTCCAACGCTTCTCTTTCTCCTTATGGTTGTGATACGTTTTCAACACATTATACAGTCGTTTTACTATAAAGCGTCAAGAAGCAGTCTCCTCCATCTCCACTATATAACAGGGCCGTACAGCAGCTGTTTTGCAGTCGTGCATTGGCTATTGTGAGAGTACTGACGTAATCATATAGCCGTCATCATCCCGATTTAAATCCTAAATATCAAACATGTTTGATATGATCGGGGCGGCCCCGATTTGTGTGTGAGCAGATCGGGAGATGCAAGATTCGATTGTGAACACCTCACATTACCAGATAATCCGCGCCGAACATCGGGACCGATCAAGGGGCTCAACAAGATTTTTGATCCGATTCTCGGAAGGGGGAAATCGGTGCTAAATCGGGCAAAATATCCTAGTGTGAGCCAGGCTTTAGAGTGGTTAAAATCATCCTTGTTTAAATCGCGCTCAAATTTATTTGAATTTATTTTGATATTGTGTGTGAGCAGATCGGGAGATGCAAGATTCGATTGTGAACACCTCACATTACCAGATAATCCGCGCCGAACATCGGGACCGATCAAGGGGCTCAACAAGATTTTTGATCCGATTCTCGGAAGGGGGAAATCAGTGCTAAATCGGGCAAAATATCCTAGTGTGAGCCAGGCTTTAGAGTGGTTAAAATCATCCTTGTTTAAATCGCGCTCAAATTTATTTGATTTTGACGCAATATTCGCAAGCGGCTGTGGTAAGGGGCATGACATTTCCCGACCAGGCGCCGAGTGCTGCCAATCACAACACACACTGACCCAGCTAACCAATCACAGCACATTTCGTATTTCAGAAGGCGGGCCTTCATTTGATACAGGAACTATTCGAGCCGTTCATGCCAGACTGGGGAGAGAGGTGTTGTAATAAAGTAAAATATGTGAAAAATTATGTTTTTCGAACAACCTAGTATGAGAGCCTGTTCTAGTACACTCCCAAAACTAAATCAATACTTTGTAAAAGAGCATAATAGGACCCCTTTAAAAAAAGACATAGCAGACATAAATTATCAGCTTTACAACACATTTTCTAGCATGTTCTAAATAAAACAGATCCCTTTATTATACTTAAGTATTTTGTAAACAAGTATTTTTGCAACAATGTGGCATGGTCTCTCCTTCTGATTTATTTTAGTAGATAATCAGAGAGGGGCATATAAAACTGACAGAATACACGCAGAAAACTGTTCACTTCAAAGTACAAAACACATCATGTAAACAATTTAAAATTAAACAAATACCATGAGACCAGAGAATTGTCATAAAATATTTACATTACAAGAAACTAAACATGAAATAATAAAATGCACAACTCACAAACATTCCCACAGAGGTTACATGCGGGGGGGGGAAATCTCTCCGCAATATGCCAAAACGGATCTGATTTCTTCAATCTTTTTTCCACGTCATTCAGCCCTGCTATGCAATTACTCACAAATACACACAAACACATATACAGCAACACGGCTGTAGATCTGCTCCGCCAAAAGACAAAAACAGCTGTACGAGGAATGAAGCAATATCTGCACAACTGCAGTTTGAATTTCAGCCTCCCCACAACCATTTACCTTTTCACTCAAAGTGCCTTAAAAGGTTTCAAACTTTTGTTTAATTACAATAAATGACATTTTAATAGCATTTATCTCTCCTCTTTTAAAACAAATTACTATGTTTTCAGTATCAACATAAACAGTAGAATAAAATGGGTATTCTAATAATCAATTCAAGAATCATTTATATCATTTGTGAAATACTATAAAAAAACTCAAGTCCTACTTTTATGCAAGAGGATTTCACACTTTCATTTCCTACCATAAGACCTTCAGACATAATAGAACACACAAAAGGCTTTGTACTGGCATTTCTGTAGTAACAGTCACAGGCCAGAGTCCATCTCTGGGATATAGAGTGAGTTTTGTTTTCAGCGTTGACAGAACCCCAACACTGCCAAGTTGTGTCCTTGACCAACAGTGAGAAACTTCAACATTACAAGTGACCAGGAGTGATTGGCCATCAGGGCTTTTATAAAACGAGCTGCAGTTCCTGTGCACTACACTACCAGCAATCATACTGAATGAAAAAAATCATTAAGAGTGCACAAAGGAAGTAAACCACATCCTTTCTCCAAATAGATTCCTTTACTTTTATCTATGTGTAGTGTTTACAACGAGAGACTGTCCTGAATTCTTTTGGAAGCATATGTCTGTGGCTGTAGAAGACTTGACTGTTGATAGAGAGCACTTGGGATGTCTTACCAAATTTGAGGCAGTCTTCCAGAACTGCTTTTTAAATGATTACCCAAAATGTCTGGGTATGTGACTCTAGAGTCTCGACTCAGTGCCAGCGTGGGCATCTGGGTTCTTAAAGGCCAGCCCGATGTTGTTTTCATGCACATACGCAGTAGAACGAGTGTTCGGAGTTTGTCTAGTGAACGCTCTGATGAGTTTAGCGCGGTACTGATCCCCTGCCAGAAAGTAGAGGATGGGGTCCAAACAGCTATTCATGCTAGCAAGTGGACGAGTGATTTTATAAGCAAAGTTGACTATATTAAGGGACCTGCAATCTGCGTCTAGAATACGGTAGCCGTAGTAGAACGAACGGGTGATGTGGAAGGGTACAAAGCAGATCGCAAACACAACCAGCACCACTATGATAAGTTTAATGGACTTCTTCCGGGATGAACTCTGTTGACTTTGGGACAGGCCCTTTCGTGGTTGACAAAGGGCCCGCGCCATTAAACAGTAGCAAACCATGATGATCAGAAATGGCAGGATAAACAGCAGGACCATCACCACGGAGTTGTAGGTAACGTAGTTGTGAAATTCGTCCGGGCGGCTGGTGTCGTGACACAAAGTCTCATTTCCTCTCTGAGAAGTGTTGACGAAACTCAGCTTGGGCACCAGGCAGGCTATCACAGCTATCCAGACAAAACCACACACCATGTGGGCATGGCGTGGCTTAACCAAAGTCAGAGTACGAATGGGGTGACAAATTCCAAGGTAGCGGTGCACACTGATGCAAGTAAGAAACAGGATGCTGCAGTACAAGTTGGCATAGAATAGAAATCGCACAATCTTACAGAGAAAAACACCAAAAGGCCAGTGGCTGCGGTTTGCATAGTAGTATATAAGCATAGGCAAGGAGAGCACGTAGAGTGTGTCGGACAGGGCCAGGTGGAACATATAAATTGTACTGGGTTTCCAGGGCCTCATCTTAGTGATGAACATCCACAGAGCCACAGAGTTAAGTATCAGTCCTAGAAAACACACCAGGGAGTATGATACAGGTAGCAGAATATACTTGAACTCCTCATTGAAGAGACAGCTGAAATTCACTTCCTTCTCAGACCTCGGTATCAAAGTAGTGGGAGGAAGGGAAAAATTCCCTGAGACACTTTTTCTTAAGAGTGAATTCATTTCTCTGTTAAAATAACAACAAAAATGCTTTTAGCAATTTTAGAAACAATGAGTTAGAAGTAAACACAGGATAAATTAGATTTCAGTGTAAAACATTATGTCACAAGCTATCAAATCAACATGAACTACAGGCTGAAAGTGTCTACAAAGAATAGACTCTTAAGTGTGCTTAAAAGTCTGATTTTTTTTTTTTTAATAATCTCATAGGGTTTAGGTCTAAAAAAGTATTCAAACTCCATATCAAAACACGAAAACTTATTCTCACAATTTATGAGTTTCCGAAATAATCCCATACGAAACTATCTCCCGTTTGAGAACTATGCTGTTTTAAAATAAATCGCAAAACAAAGAGAAAATCTTCTTTTTTTTTTTGCACACAACCGTGCACATTTAGGGTACACGAGATGTAAGAGAAAGAGGAGCACGCGGAGTTATTTTCACGTGCTAAAACTTACCGTTCACTCAGTTGAACGAGGTAAACACGTCCCTCCACAGATCAAAACATGAGTTTAGATGGTTGACACTAATGGTTCAAAAACCATTCAACTTGTTTAAGAGATTCACGCCTCCAGATTTACCGGACTGGGCGCGCTCGAGCTGATATTGTCCCGCTGCAGTAAGTGAGCGCGTGAGCGCATGAGCTGAGGGGCGGAGGTGGGGGGATCAGAGCCAAACTGAGTTTCTCCCTTCAGCTCCTCGAGACAATTCACCAATATTTAGTGAGGTATTGGTCAATATATAATTTTTCTTAAATACCACGAGAAACTGGTAAGGTAGTAGAAGTCAAAGTCATTTATATTCAATTTTGCTATTTAAAGGGGAACTCTTCTATTTTTCCTATTTCTGAGTGTACTCATCTCAGTATCATATCACGCGCTTATCAGTTTCTGCCATCTTTGCCCATCACACAGACAGTAATTTACAGCAGAAGCTCATCTCACATGCCCTTTAAACATTATATGTTGGCTCTCGTAAATGATACTGCCCAGTTTTTATGATAAAATCCTTGAAGGTAAATTATACGACACTTTAACCCCATCGCACACATGGTGCTGCTCTCTTTCCGTTTTATGTAAGATACTGGCAACTCCAGGCAAGCTCCTTCAATGTAATTTCACTTCCAGTAAGCACCATGTGACTGTGTGGGCTACATACCAAATGGAATTGTGCATAGCCTATACATCCCACAATAATGTTTCCGAAGAAGTTACAGGTTTTCCATACAGTAACAGAGGTAATAAAGAAATACAGGTGTTTCCCAGGAGTTCTAGGGGAGCTTATGCATATTTGTTTGGAGTAAAGTTAATCTTTAGTAAAAACACAGTCCCGTCCCATTTGACCAAAGAGAGGTTAGCCTAGCCCTAGTAGTACAGGTCTGCCTTAGAGAGAGGAGACCTTAAACTGATGCTCATGTGCTGGAACTGATTCTTTAGCAACTCAGAAATAATCGCACACGTTTGTATCAGACCACTCAGACGTGCTGTTAGGTAAATAATATGCACAGTGTTTGGTCATGGCAGTCAATGTGGAAGAGCGAGTATCTAGAAAGCTAAATGAACAGGGCAAAAGATTACAACAAGAAATACCTTTATCTCAGTTTGAGTGTCATAATAGGTTGCATGACTGCTATGCCTCTCTGAGTTAAAGTTCACATTGAATATTTGCACAATTGTTTTATGATGTTGGCTTGATGTTAAATAATCTGTAATATAGTATTCAAATTCATTTGACTTATAATGTTAGTATTATACATCGCTGACATCTAGGATGTTATAAAAAACATTAAATTACAATTTAAGTCATGTGTCATGAAATAATAATTAAAACAATTATAAGCTGTGTAAAAGCTGGGGAGATTTGTTTGCATTGTTGGTATGGTGAGACCCACTTCCTTTGCAGTGCTGACCTGATAGTTAGTCCAAAAAGGAGTTATGGGAAATTGCATGAATTGTAGAGGAATGCGAGTGGGTCAGTGACTCAGTATTGTGATGTGAACTGTAGGTCACCGGGAATACAGCTAGTTCAGTTTCACTCTTCATCTCTGGCCTACATAATAATCTAATGACTGACAGATGAAGTCAAGCAGGCCGGTGCAGAATATTCACCTACTCTCCACCCATTTTCGTTTGTGTCACAAAAAAGTAGATAAATAGAAAGAATCAAGATTAGCCACAAACTACTGGAGTGATAAAAAGGGACATTTTCTGAGAGAGCAGAAAGGAAGTTTATTTGTGATAAGCTGCTATCATTCAAATGACTAATAGCCAGACTCACCGAGATGCTTTCTTCAGCGGAGAGCACACAAGGATGTGAATTCACACTGAACTTTCTTCAATTCATATTTTCATTCATATGTCTATCTGTCTAGATCAATCATCTATCTATCTATCTATCTATCTATCTATCATCTATCTTTGAGATTACTGCACTTATGTACGACATGTCTCTGGACATCATTAGGACATGCTGATGTCATTACAAACACTCCATGCTCATTGTCTTTGATATGTCTGACAGTCAACTCTATCCCAGAGCAAACATAGTCCTCAAAGATCCTGTTTCTATACAAACAACCTTTTGTACCATATTTGTTCAAGTTTAAAGATAATCAAATATTGACACTGAATAGTATAGATTTAAAATAAAAAAATCACCCTTTAATCAATTTTTTTTTTCTGTGACTTTATAAAACCATCACCATAATCCAAAGTGAATATTGAATAATTTATCAAATTACAGATATAATTGCAAGAATAAAGACTTTAGGACTGCGGAGGTGGGAGAATTCAATTAACATCAAGGTAACATCATAAATTAAAGCATAGCTAGTTGGCCTTAAAAGTTTTATATTAATAAAATCAAATAGAATGACATTTTACAACGTGTATTAAATCCCTGTGAAATATCAGATAACACCTTTAATGTTCAGGGAAAATGTGAACTGTGCTTATTCTGTTAAGACTGGAAATCATTATGTTGGTTCAATTCAGTATTAAAAATCCATGAGCTTAAGTAAAGGGGAAAAACAGCATCACTGCAATTAAATCCCTGGGGTAATTAGTAAAATATATATTCTTCTTTAAAAAAGGACCAGCTGACTCCTTTAGCAAACAGTTGGTTTATGCACTTTTAAACGGGTAATTTATAGCAAAGATGTCTCCTAGGAATAAATACAGTAACTAGGCTAAAAACAGGGATATAGGCAAGCTGTGATTCAGTCACCAGACAAGGTACTGAACCAGAACATTTCACAGCTAATGCTCAGATAATACAAGGTTGACTTGTGCTATTATATACACAGTATCTACGTATGAGTATCAAGACGGTCAGTGCTAAAGTAAACAATTGAAGAGTCTGTGTTTTAGTGATAGCTATGATTTGTTTGGATTGTTAGAAGCAGGTGTTGAACTGTAGTTTATTCCATGCTGTATGTTTAGGACCACGGGGACAGAATGAACACATTGTGTGATGAACTTTATTAATGAATGAACTTACAATTAGAAATTACAAAGAAGAGTAAAAAAATATTTATTAAGAATACAAATATTGAACTTGTCTTATTGTCTCCTGATAGTCTCAGTTTCTTTTCAGTTTAGTCCCAGATCTTGGGAAGGTTCTCCAAGATTCTCCGTCGATGAGACGGATTAGACACACCTGCTGCACACAGCTCCTCCTCTGTAATACCACTGCATGAGAAGAGAACACACAGTGACATTTGGCAGCGTGTACGTGTACTGTATATATATGTTCACAAAGCACTGTTGCTGCTTAAAATCATTAACTGATGCAAATGCTTGAGAACAGAAGAAATTTTTCGACTACGTCACATTCATACCTACCTGAAGTAATCAAGATCATCCCAGCCGTTACGGCTGAGGTCCAGCGTGTAGCGCTGCAAACCCAATGTGCTGAGCAGCTCCCGCACTGTTTCTGGGGCTCCATGCAAGACTGACACCTATAGACACACGTTGCCTTTGTAAATATTAAAGCTAAACCCCAAAGCTAATCCTAAAGTCCATATTTACACAGTGCAATAAACAACATAATCCAAAACAGAAAACTACTCAACTCACCTCTTTCTCCCAGCTGTAGTTTCTCTCACTAGCTAAACCATAATCATATCCATGATGCCTTTGCTGAGACGATATTTGATTATATTGGTACTTCCTGTCTACTGGCTGAAAATCCACCTCACTTAGTGATTTAGCCATTTGGAGGGCTGTAAGTGAATTGTCTCCTGAAGCTGTAGTTGGCTGCTCTACTATCCAGGGTATTGAGGACTCATGAATGGGAACCCTTGTGGAAATATATGGGTACAGCTTTGGTCCATTTCGCATTGGCATGGGCTGACCTTGGTGTAGCCTGTGATAGTCCTTTCTGACTTTTTCTTTGAGTGGCGCCTGTATGTCCCGGGAAAAAACAGAACTGTTCATGTAGGAGTTTGTGACTTTTTTGACTGATAATATTGAATCCTGTGTCATATTGTTCTTATAGGATTGTAATTGTAAAGATGTATTGGAGGAGGTGGTGTGTCTTTGGTTTGGGGATGTATTAGGAACATCTGGACCTGGGAAAAGCTGATACGAGGACGCAGTTGACGTCAGTTCACGAGTCTCGCAAGATGATTTATAGGATGTTAAAGATCCAGGAATCTCAATCTCTGTGAAATCGGACCTCCGAGCAGACCTTTTGCCATGGCTGTGACCTCCAGTCACTCTAGGGAGCTGTATCACAGCATCTTTGGCCCATTCTACTTGGGATTCTTTGCTGGATGGGGGAATCTCTTCAACTCTTCGCAACACAGGCACCCCCTCAAAGATGAAGTACGCAGGATTGGTGTAGCTGTTTGGCGCTGCCATATATGAGGATGATGGTGCTCTACAGTGGGAACATGACGTGTAAATCAAGGTGATGTCCAATGGAAAAAGGTAGCAGAACATGATCATCTGAACAAGTATATTAATAAAACTACTTTACCATAGATGAAGTGAACATTATTTATTAACCTAGGTCTATTTTTTGACTCACTGGGCTGGGAATGCACAAGAAGACAGGCGAGACAAATGATCGTTTGTCATTTCCTTCCCATCCTTCTCCATGCAGAGCCACTCTGTAATGTCCAGAAGACATGTCTCATGTCTAAATGTTTAAATATTGTAGTCATCTGTGACAAAACCACTGGGTGTTCAACAAGCAGTACGTTAAGTTTCATATTTCAGTTAAAGTCTCAGAATGCATCTGGACAAGATCAGGCAGCACGGCAGCAAAAGAGGAAGCCATGGCAGATAGAAAAGTGAAAACAGAGCCAAAGCAGAGGAGGAACTAAATATTTGAGGAAATGATAGACACACCATAGACCCTTTCCCGGATTCTTCGGCGGTCTGGTGGTACATAAACACTGATTTGTCCTCGAATAGAACCCATCTCTTCTCCTCTGTGAGTCAAGCATGTCTCAAATGGATCCGATGATTTCCCTGTTACCGAGCGAAGAGCCACACAGCATTCGCCTGAAATGACATAACTCCCATTATATATACAATCAATATGACCATAATGTTTCAACAGTGCCCTTCACTAGAAATTTAGATGTGTATGTTCCTGGTTATGATGTTATGGTTTCTAAAAACCAAACCACTGTTTCAGAGAAAATTGAGCTTGACCGTGTACCGTATGACTCAAAGCCATCACATGACTTCACAGACAACAACAAGTGCTGATCCCGGAGATGCTCTAAATCTGAGAACACTGGGTGGAGCTGAAAAAAGAAATTTGATTTGGTGTACAAACAAAAAGTGTCAAATCCTTATTAAAAATAGCATAGCTTCAAATGATCACATTGAGTTAAATGGCCTCTATCACAACCTTGGGGAACTGTTTTGAAGACCAGCCAAGTTTGAGAAATCCTGGTACCTCACAGTACTGCGAGTCATTCTCAGCAGAACGTCGAGGCTCTACACACAAGGAGAAGCATAAAGTTAAAAAAAAAAAGAACTGTCACATTTATCCCATGACCTCCTGGCATTTCAAAAGCCTGATTGATTATTGCACAAAAGATACCTTCAAGATAGCGGGAGTGGAACTCGATGAAAAACTTGGCCTTGCTAGCAGTTTTCACTATGGCCTCAATCGCCTCCAGCTCAATGCTGGCTCTCTCTGAACCCAATTCTACATCCACAGAGATGGAAAAAGAGGACTGTGAGATGGTTATAACACTAAGAGAAACATTAAACAAATACTCAATTAAAAAAATACTTGAATTATGATCACTGATTATATTTATGGGGTTAGTTCACCCAAAAATAAAAATTCTGTCACCCTCATGTTGTTCTAAACCCAAGGCTTTTGTTAATCTTCGACACACAAATGAAGACATTTTCAATTAAATCTGAAGGATTTCTGTTTCAGTGCCCATCAATTGAAAATCCATTCTACTAAAACTTCTATGCATCAAAAAGTACATAAAAAGATTGTAAAAGAAATCCATGTAAATCAAGGCGTTTTATGATCAAAGTCTTCTGAACAGATATACTTGTATTGAAAAGTTATGACTTTATGTATGTGCTCTGAGCAGTATTTATATGTGAATAAAGCACATCAAACACAGTAAATGGAAGTTCAAATGTGCTTGCTTGACGTTTGAGAGCCAATGAGGTTTGTCCTCGCAAATCAAGTTTGAACTTATGCAACAACCAATGCGGGGTTTTTTTTAGCTTTCAGATTTCATTTAAAATATTTTTTCATTTAAGTTTCTAAGATGAACAAATGTATTTTGAGCTTGGAACAACATTAGGGTGAGTAAATGACGACAGAATTTAAATTTTTGGGTGCACTAACCCTTTAAGAATGATCTAAAGTTGAAATCATTTTAGGCTGTCATGTTGGTGCTGTTAAAACAGGCAGCCTTGACCAGCCTTGAAAAAAAATGTGTTTGGTGGCAAAGGGAAATGGTGGTTCCTTAATGAAATGCATGTTCAGCAACCCATAATATAACTCTTTGTGTTATGAAATGACCCAAATGTCAAAAACTCCAGTGTCAGAGACTCAAGCTGAAAAGGACTCCATACCTGTTCTGGGAAACTGTGATATCACACCCACTTCAAAAGTTGCAAAAACAGGAGAGTGATCACTGGTGAAGATGTCATCTGTGCATCCTGATGAACAGAACCAAAGGATCAGTTAAAAATATTTGTTTACTAATCTATTCGATTCTTAAAGCTGTAATTGGGGTGGAGTTAAAGTTTTTCTAAAAACATACAAACCGTCATCTGAACATTAGCAACCATCCCATTAATAAATAACCTAATTAATTAAACATCACATTCTCATTTAATGCTGGCATTTAAAAAGATTCTAAAAATACTAATGTGAGGTAGTAATGAAATACTAAGCATTTGGTCAGTGTTGGCTGTGATCATATACACTAGCATAATATATATTGGAGGCCTTTGCTGAGGAGGCTGAATTCACATGTTTGTTGGAGCAGACAGACAGACAGGATATGACTCTGATTGTGGACCGCAGACCTACAGTCGTACCCAAAGTCAACCTTTGTTGTGCAGGGTAGCTAGCTACACACATCTCATTCCAAAATGCTACAAAAATAGCAGTCCAATGTTTTAGTTACTTCCCTCAAGCTTAAGTGCAAACCAACAAAGGAGAATGCCTAGCCACTTGATGTATTATGAAGACACTGTAATGCATGGACTATATTTTTTCTTTTACATGTGATTAGAAAGCTTCTCAAACACTAATGAGAATAAGAATTGGGAGAAATAGGAATAACATACCATATGAGGTACAGATTATGTGAGACTCTGGGTAGGACTTCCACAGAACTCTATCACACCACGAAGGCCCATTGACTTGCACCTGAGGAAAGTTTGAATTGAGTTTTAATAAAACAAAATAATAGAAAACAAAAAGGATGAGATGAGAAAATGTAATCTATGTCATCACACATAATGAGTAAAATCATATCACATTTTGATTCATAGGCCACTATAAGTGTAAACAGGATGTTAGGATGTCATTAACAAAGGCTGATAGATTAAATGAAATGAAAAGTTTTACCCCACTGGACTTGTATTTCTGCCATAGATAACAGTCTCTAGAACCACGTTCATACCGATAGGTGGGTGGAAACAAAATCTTCTCCTCCTCTTAACAGAGAGAGCAAGAACAAAACCAAGAACGAAATATTAAAGCGTCTGTTAATGTTTTTTTTGTCCCACATGTTGTTGTGTGATCACATCTATTGATTTCTTGTGTCTGTGGTGTCCCTGGGAGAAGAAGAGCACGGTTCTTACTAAAGTTAAAAAAGGCCTTTCTTCTGTGCCGCTCTTTGGTCAATTGGTCTGCACACATCAGCTCCTCGAATTCTCGCTTTGAAACATGCTTCAATATATCCTGCAAAAGGGAGACCTCAGTCAGGAACAGATGACCTTCAATATATGATAGAAGTGAGCACAAGGATTCATAGAACAACTCAGTTCAATTCAATGCGCTTAATGGGGTCTCCTTAGAGCAATATTTGAATGGCTATGGATCACAGTTAATAAAAAGCAGTGAGCGGGAATAAGTAAATCTGGAGTGACTAATATCTAGACAGAAATAAAGCAGATATTAGCTATGTGACCAGAGCATCCAGGTCCAGGCGGTAGTTGAGGTCTCCACACCAAAAGAGATGATTGAAACGAAGGCTAATGTCAAAAGTGCTGAGCTGCTTTTCTCCAAGAGACAAGAGTCTGAGGATGTCTTGGAAGTTGTGGTTCCTCCTAAGACAAGAAAGAGGAATAATGCAAAATAGACACTCGCACATACAGAACTATTGTAAAGTTTGGGGTCTATAAGATGTTGTAGAATTCTCTTATGTTCAACAAAGCTGCATTTATTTGATCATAAATACATGCTGAATTCAATTGGATCAGATACGTTTTGTGGTCTGCGCCAACTCGCGCATATGATCCGCTCCGTGCTATCGTGTTTCTGGACCAGAGCAGACTGTGTGTGCTGTGTGTGACTTCATTTGCCCCAATGGAAAGAATATTTACACTGTCTGAATCGTTCCCCAGCTCCTATATAGTGCACTATATGCCACTGACCATATAGAAAACGTGAATTCTGTGAACAAGTGACAGATTTCAACCGCAGCTTCAGCGTCTATTCTTCACCAACTGCACGACTAAAACATAAAAGCAATAGATTCCATTTACTGGCCTTGTATGATAATGATGGAGACTGAAGTATCTCAGGTTTTAAGGCAAGATAAACTCACTCCTGTTGTGTGTGACAGTCTCCACACCGAATGAGCCAGTCTTCTTGTCAAACAGCAGCACTCCTGCATCTATGTCTACCGACACTGTTTGCCTGCCATACCTGACCACCTTGACCTTGACATGCACATAAATAAATGCAAACACTTTCATAGTTTAAATATTACCAGTGAACAAAACAATAGGCAATAATGTGCTACCTGAAAGCTGTGAACAGTATTAGGTCTGGCCTGTTTTTTGGGGGCTGTGACAGACTCAGGAGGAGTGACTGGTTGCAAAGATAAGTTGTGACTGGTTACAGCTTCTTGCAAAGCTTTGAGAACCTGAAAAAGACCCAATATTGTTATCATCATCACAGACAGAAATGCAAAAAGATTACAAGTATGTGGTTTGTGTGGGTTTGCATGTTATTTTTGTCATATGTGTCTCTACCCTCTTCTCCAGAGATGACAACAGGTTACAGAGGGCAGTGAGCTTGTGAAGCAAATTATCCATGTTTTCTCCAGGGCTCTTCCCTGTATTCTAACAAAAAGAGAGTTTATGAGACAACAGGAATTTATTAGGTAAAGGAGACATTGATGTCTCCGCACTGCATGCTATGCTGTTGCTAAAGCATTCTGAGAAATTGCAAAGTTGTTCTGAGTGATTGCTATGCGATTGTTTCTTGGCACAAGTTAAAAGAGTTTGCCTCCAAGGCTCTATGATATTCTGGTCCCTAGTTATAGGATCTAAGCACTGGTTCTCAACCCGGTGGCCAGAGCCCACTAGGAGGCCTCAGAAAACGTACAATTATTGAAATGTATATATTATTGTTATAATAATAATAATACAATTAATATCAACATTGTATTGAAATGCTAAAAAACATACAATCAAGATTTTCTGTAAAATGAACTAGTTTTTTTTAGTTGTGTGGACAATGGAGTCTTTGAATCAAAAAGTTTGAGAACCACTGGCCTAAGGGATTTTTTCTACCCATTTTATCATCCATCAGTGAAAATAAGTCAGTCATATCACTTAGAAAAGTAACAGTAAACCTTTCCTCAGCAAGCTGCATGATTTAAGCTATTATACACTATACCTATACACTTAGGGTCAGGGGCTCAGGGCTTTGTTCAAATTCCTAACAAGAAGCATGAGCAATAGTAATGGTGATGCTTGATTGTGCAAAGACCAGTAATGATCCCATTCCTGTTTGAACATGTAATAAATCTCTGAATCTGTGGTTCCCTATATCAGCCACACACAGTGCAGTGTTTCATAATTCAGGAAAATGTTGCACGCGAAGCCAATTTATTAAACTATATTAAAATTTATTCAAGAAAAATATGACTGATTGATAATAGCAGCCTGTATTAGACTTATGTTTGTGTACCTGCATTGTGGAGAAGGTGAGGTGGCCACTAGGATGATCAAACACCTTCGCTAAGGTTTCCAAACTGGACAGAGTCTGGTCAATCTCACTGTGGTTAACAAATCAGCAATAACTTTTTCTTGAAAATATTCAGATGCTTATTTCAAATAATTGCAGCTGTGTTGAGAAGGGACATGTTATGTTAGAGAAACAGCACCTGTGCAGACTGTCACATGCGCGGCTGAGGATGCACTGAAAGTGTTGCAGTCCTGATGCGCCTACTTTTACATTCTCCAGGTCCTTACACATATTACTACGCAGATACTCATCCAGTAATTGGACAATCTCACAGCCCGCACTGCAGAATTAAACATTGGTACACTGAGCTGTAAGGAGCGACACTGTTTTCACACAATTTTATATACAGGCACAGACAGTGGTATGTGATCCAAAAGTCTGATATTGATCCATAAGTCATGTTTTATGAATGAATGTACCTATTTGGCCTGAGTTCCTGAAGCCTCTGCAGCAGTAAATGAGGAGCTGCTGAACTGGAAGGTGGGGGCTGGCCTGCAGGGGACATTGCACGTGGTGGAGGGGTGACAAATGTTGAACTTGGCTTCTCATCGTCTCCATCTGCACCAAGACACCTCCATTTAATCTTAAACATTTGAATGTTGTGCCTTTGGGATGAACTATGTCATAGCAGCCTCACACAAATTAAAGACTAATGACTTGTTAACAGTGCTTCAGGCCGCGAATAAAATGGTCGCAAATGCGACAAGCAAAATAAAAATGAGCGACAATAAGTTTAAATATGTTTGGGACAGTCTTTGTGTCCATCCATATGCGGTTTTGTCAGATTTCATCCGCGCGCCACATCCATAACGAACACTGCGCGTTGTGAGCAAAGCCATGATGTCCGATTCACAAACAAATGATTCATTTGAACCGGCTCTTTTGAATGAGTCAGTCAAAAAGATTCATTAATCAGCCTCGAACTCGGAGTTAGCGGTTAGAATCAGACTCACTCTCTGAAATACTTACATCGGTCTGTTTAATGTCTGTTACATGTACTATAATAAATATAAATATTCATAACATGTATATTATTGTATATATTCAAATAGTGATTTTGCACAAATACAACTGGGATCACTCAAATTGTAATAAATTTATACTAAAACGACCAAAACACTATAGTTTATATAAGTTAAATCGTCATAATCTACATACCAAAATTTCCCCTTCTTCACAGCACAGTGAATGTTGGTTAAAAGCTATAGTTTGAAGCAATGTACTCACTGAACTGAAGCGCTACTAACATTATTGACAGATTGTTATTCTTCTATCATCTTACCTGAGCTCTCATCGTTGGGCTCTGATTCACGCATAACAGGGTAAAGCAATGGGGCCACCAGACCTTTGTGTGGGTGTAGATAACCCACAACTAAATCACTAAGAGTACGGAAACAATTCACCTGCACTCCCTGCGTGGCCTGAAACAAAAACACACATGACCCAACTCATATAGGCAAACAAATTCAGAAATCAGTTACAGCAGGACAATATAAGTATTTGAAATATGCATTACAAGATTTTAAAATTCTGTCCTAATTATGGGAAGGTGGAAAGGGATCATCAGTGTATTAGAAGGTTAACAGGAAAAATCATACTACCAAAAGTGTGAAAACTTTCCTACAAAATCTGAATGTTGATGACAGATACTGAACTTTATCACAGCCTAATACTTTTAGGCTTGGTTTCACAGACAGGGTTTAGGTTAAGCCAGGTTTAGGCCATAGTTCAATAAGGACAGTATCTTTTATAAACGTGCCTTAGAACAAACGTTACTTGTGTGCATCTTGAGACAAAACAATGGCACTGACATATTTTTAAATTTAAATAAACAGCCCAGACATGCATTTTAGTCTGGGATAGGCTTAAGCCTTCTCTGTGAAACCAGAAGTTACATTTTTGATTTATAGTTCAGAATTGGCTAACTTTTTATTAAATGACAAATATTTGGAATTCTGACAGACCTATTAAACTTGCGTGCCAAAAAATAATGTGAGACTTTCCTGCATAAACTAAAAAAAGATTGGCAGAAAATGCAGTACTGCTAGGTTTGCCACAAAAAGAAGTTGGTCTATGTAATCTATGTAACTCCCAAAACATTTCAGTTTTTCTGCTTTATGGACCAAAGGTACAATTACATTATGATGCCCTCATTCTAGCATCTGCCAAATTCTACATGCCACGAACAGCCACTAGCCAGCTACCCACTGTGCAAACAAGAGCATACACACACACATACTGTACTTAAACCATCAGGCATCATGACAAATAAAATAACCCGCTCTTTGAATGCCTTTTTTTAGAAGCTTGTATTTTGAAAGCATGGTCGATGAAACCATTTTGGCAAAAACATTTAATTATTTCCCCTAAAATCTCCAAATAGCAGCATGTTTTCCTTCCAAGAGTGCAGCTCTTGAAAAGCAATTAAAAGAAATCAGACAATGATAGGGGGAGAATATTCAGAAAATGTTTCTTTTTCACAATAGAAAGCAACACTAACTTAATATGCCTCTTCTTGTGCATATGTATATGTTATCCATTCGGTGTTTTACATAGGAAACAGGCATTAAATCTACTTAATATAAAATATTATATAAAATATAAACCTTATTGGTAGAGTGTTTCTGAAACACACCAACACATCTCATCCATGCACAGAAAAGAATTAGCAAAAATGCATCTAGTACTGCTGCCTGGACATAGAAACAATTATGTCACACATATTTTAATCTCCACACAGACAGACAAACCCATTCCAGTCATTCTCTATCAGGAGCATGGGTGCAGGAGGAATCTGTGTGAAACATTTTATTGACAGCAAGTGCCACCGAGGCCAATTTGAAACCACGCAACTGCATGCTTCAGACAGCAGACAAGAACAAGTCTGCTTCTTTTTTGAAGAATAAGAAGAAGTGAAAGTAACTAGATGAGTATCAAGTAATTTCCATGTGAAATTGCACATTCATTCAAAGGTAAAACCATCATTTAAGGTATCCTGCCTAACAAGGCATAATTTTCGCCCGCATTTACTTTCTTACTTGTGACTGTGCATTTGACTGTGCAAACTCCTTTGTCTGCTCACCTGCACAGCCAGTAACCCATCTGCATCAGGAAGGATTCGGTATGTATGAACATGTCGCTGGAACCTATGGACAAGACAGACAGACTGTTGAATCTAAGATAATGCAGTAAAATAAATATTCTTAAAGCTGAAGTTTACCCAAACATTTATATTTTGTAATGTCTATCAAAATGTAGTAACTTTCTTTCTTCCATGGAGCACAAGAGGAGATGTTATGCAAGATGTTCATGCTGCTCTTTTCCATACAATGATTTTCATTGAAGAGCAACTTAAACTACAGTCTGTTTTCAACTCATATGGCTTCATAAGACTGCACATGTTCTGTGTACCATAGTGCTTTTTGTCCTTTTTAAGATCTCATCAGCTTATACACAAGACATCAGCTCAGACATTCTGCTAAACTTCTCATCTGGTGTTTAGCAGAAAACAGAAAACCAACCAACCCTTTAAATAATCACATAAATGGAACATTTTGTGGCTTCATGAAACAATGTGTGCATGCCTGACATTGATGGTTTCCATGGTCACCACAGGGCAGCATATTCAATTCTGAAAGTAGGGTAAAAGTTTATTTATACCATATACAAGGCCACAGTAAAATAAAAGACCACCTGTTAATGTGGTCACTGAGGCCATCAGTATGTGTCATATCATATAAGATCATATTTCTGTGCCCATAGGAGGTTAGATAAACCAGAATTTGTGTTCATTTGCATTTGGCCACACAACCTGGAACATGTATTCAACTGAGACCAATGAAGACACAATTAGAAAGCTCAGTGTTTCCAGGTAATCTAAAAGAAGAGAACAAAGCACAGAGAGGAAGTGTGACTGTGTGAGTAGATGTTTTGCATGTGAACTGTTTCAGAGAGAAGAGACGAGGTAGAGGGCAAGGGAAAGAATGAATGAGAGAGAATGGAAGAAAGAAAGTAGGGAGAGCATTTGGAGCTGGAGGGCTCAGCCTTCAGGAATGTGTCTGGCTGTGGGCCGCAGTGGAGAGAAAGCAATGCGGTCACTGGAGCCTGTTCCCTCCTACAGGGCCTAGAGACAGGAGGAGAACAGGGAAAACTGAGGCCTGAACAAAGCTGACTGAGTGGGGTCTAGAGGGACTGCTCTAGACTGGGTCTCGTCTCCTGAAGCTCATGTGCACTGAGATAGACAGAACTAAACTATCTGAAAGGTAGCCCCAGTCACTGTCTTGTCAAAGTTCTGCTGAAACCTGATGGGGAAGGCAGACACATGGCTGTAAAATCCATCTCACAGGCACAGATTATAGAAAAGGACTACAATAGTTAATTGCCTTTTTGACAATACCTGGTTACTATTGTGATTTACTTAAAAATGTCATTGTGCATCACCAGGAAGTGTTGTGAATATACAGCTGGGTCATTCTAGGTAAATTTATCACATCACAACCAAGTGTGTGTAAAGGCTGGAATACACTATATGACTTTTTAAATCTGAACAGTTTTCAAAACACTAGGCATCATAGTTTGTAAATGGGTTACAGAAAAACCAGTCATCATACACCAAACGACTGATGATCACACACTACCAGACTTTCATGTTTTTCTGAACACAACAAACTCATGCAGAAACATGCTCCTCATTGCTAGAAGATGACTGACTATATGTGTTGTAAAACTGGCAAAAACTTATCTGACATACTTTGACTGATTGAAACCATTATACACTGTTCATTTTGAATTAATTCGGTCAATTCTGACCACCCAAAATCTGCAAATTGGTTCTACCCTTTGGCAACTAGCATTGACTCATCACTCATCTGTAATTCTGTGCAAACATTGTGTAGTGTATTCCAGTCTTGAGGTGTTGTACTCACAGCAGACACAAGGCGTAGGCTCCAGGCACAGATTCACTGTCCCTCACCAAGAAGCTGCCATCTCTCCCTGCACGGGCCAGCAGCTCTTCGGCTCGAACGCGGCTGATATCCCGATGGTACCACGCTGCTGCTGTCATGGTGCTTTCAAAAGAGTGTCCTAGCAGAGTATAATACAGTCTAATTTCCAAAAACCAAAGTGGTTGACACAAGTTTGATGAAAGATGTCATATTGATACTGTTGATTTCCAGTGATAACAAAACCGGAGGTCCACCCTGTCATCCCGTCTCTGTCAGAAGCTGAGCATGCAGAGTCAGATCCAGAGAGCGTTACGGCATCCAAAAGCTTTGTTGTTTACACTGTCTATTGTGTTTGCCTTCCCATGAGCATGTGCGTTTTAATGGCAGAATGCACATTTGGCTTGAGGGCAGATCCAGGACCGGCCTCCTCCTCTCGTGATCTGCGACGACTCCACTTATGAGAGCTCATTAGTGAGACTGAGGTCGATGACAGAGCATCCATACAAAAGTTGCCCACCCCACTGACAAAAGCTCTTATTGTCTGGCAGCAAACATATCCAAGAAGAGGAACCAAGGCTCCAGACTGCGCAGACATGAAAAGGCAGTGGAGCAGTACCACCACAAATTCAAATACTTTTCCACTCAGTTGGTTTTGCCTTATAAGGGCAAGGCAACACCCCTCTGAGAACTTCAGCTGATGTCTGCAAACTCCACTAAAGGACCGTTAACTCCAGCTAGAGGTTCACCAACCAGCCTTAGGGTAAGAACTAGACCTGGACTCCATTCACAAAGACGGAAAACCATGAGGGTCGGCATGTAGATGTAAAATTAGAACGGATGGACCCCTGGTAAATTTAAGGAAGTGCTTCACAACTCCAGATGGCAGAGGAAGAAGAGAGAGCAGAAAAATTAAAACACTAACCTGAATTCCTGAGCGCAGCGTTTTAGGAACTTCCAGTCTCACTCATTCTTTCTTTCTATCCCTCCGAGGGATCTTGAGAAAAACCCACACAGTAGCTACACTGTAGCTAAATCATTGTCACATGCTTTGAATCGGTCTCTACAGCTCTCTGGGTTACTGTGCTACGCTTCCAGTTGTTTTTCTCTCACTCCTTGTTGGCTTCCCAGCTCTCTCTCTCTTCCTCTAGCCTCTCTGTCCATCTCCCTCTCTCTGTCCAGGAAGTGAAGAACACAAGCTCTGCCATATGGATACGATCATCCCCCTTTCTCTGTGTCGCTTGTTTTGTCCTTCTCCTCCTCCGACCCTCCTTTTCTTCTCTCTTTCTGTTTCCAGCTGCTTGACTAACACCATCCCTCACTACTCAGCAAAAACAGTTTGCAAACCTCACCACCAAACACAAATAAAGCACTCCACCCCCAAATCTCTGTTTGTTGTGAGTGGGCTATAAAAAGTCATTGTTTTTCCACTATTAAGTAGCTATGAAGGAAGTCAGGCGGTCCCTAGAAGTTTCTAACGCACCCTTCATCCGTAGTGTTGTCTGTTCAGCGTTGTGGCAATAGACCACACTAGGTCATCTGAGGGTTCAGGTTTTTGTACATGCAGGAGCTTTCAGAGGTTCCATCATTTAGACTGCCAACAGAACCTCCATTGTGAAGCACTGATGAAGACAAATGATCATGGAATATAAATAATATTTATTTTTGTCCCCCCGAATATGTAAACCTGAAGAGTTCATGCACACTTTTCCACCTCTGCCCTTGTTGTGGCTTTAATACCTGGCTCTGATTTGCATTTAAATTTCGAATTTGAAGTCAATTTAAATTGCTGTTAGCAACCTACTTTCATAATGTGATGCATTTCAGAGTAAAAAAATATAATTTTGAACTTAATTACTAATTACTATAATTTTATCCATCCCAAATTAATTGGATGGTAAAAAGAGTTACACAGGTTACAACCTATAATCACAACCTGAAGGACAATATCAACACCTGTAGATATTCAACAGGATTTACACTGATCAACACCAACATACAGGATTTACACTACTTGATTGTGACAATGCTTTCCTGGACCAGCAGCAATCTTTGCAATAAGTGTAAAATAGTAATTATGCTATCTATATTTTATATTGGCAGATACTATTTGCATTTCAGTATTTTTGTACATTAACAAGATGCAATAATAACAGAGTGTAAATGATTGTTTATAGCTCGGCATAAGGCAGATTTGAACCTGGGTCGATCGCATCAAAAGCCAATTCTGAGATTCTTACTCTCTACTGCCTACTCCACTAAATACATTGAAGCAAATGTGTCATTTTTTAGTTTTGAGTGTACCAGACATTGGTGGGTGGAGCTAGTGAAAATAGCGTTTGCCAATGCGCTATTAGCACTTAGTGTAAAGACACTCTGGAAAATCAATTATCTTCCTCTCGCTTGGGCCCCAAGTGCGCATGGGCCCCTGGGCTGTGCCCATAATGCCCATTGGATATTCCATGTAAGCAATGTAAGCAGAAAAAGGAAAGTCACTTTAGAGGATAAGCAATTTATTGCATTTTGTTTAAAGATTATTAATAAAATAAAATAAAATTAAATTTGTAAGAAACAAATCAATCATTAAACTTCATAAATTTTTAATTTCAAACTGTTGCTTCCGGCTTAACACTGAGTCCTATTGCTTTCTCCAGTGAAAAATATATCACATCTGAATCAGGAGAGAAATATGCACAGATCAAGCACAGTTCTTAACAAAGATGTGAGGACAACAGGGGATGGATTTTTTCACTGGAGAAAGTGTTAATATGGATTATGGGCTCTATGGAGCTGCACGTTTGTTAGAATCAAGTCCTCTAGAAGCTTGCGTTCTGCAAGTGAACGACGGATTATTATGCCATCTCAAAGAGGCACAAAATCACTTTCACAGACTTTTTCATAACTGTTCCCTCCTGGTGGAATGACCTGCCCAACTCAATCCGAGCATCTGAGTCCTTAGCCATCTTCAAGAAACGACTGAAAACACATCTGTTCCATCTTTATTTGACCCTCTAACTCTAGCACTTTCTATTCCATTTGAATTCTACTTTATCTATTTTTCTTTTTTTTATTTAAAAACATTCCTTTTACAGCAAATAAACTAAAAATAATATATTTGCATTTTTCCTAAGTGAAGTCTTACTGAAATGGTTTTAAAAGTAAAAACATCATGCTGAATTTTAAACCATGTAAATCATTATAGTTGTGTCTAATTAGTCATTAAGTCTCTTAATTGCTTGTATATACTTGAAGTGTTTTGTGTAAGGTCCGCGCACCTGGCCCAACGAAGGTATCCAGTGGCGGATGAAGGTCTCTTGCGTGTTCGGTCTTTTCAGCGCGCAGAGTTATTCAATTTAGGTTTAACTCAATCTGACTCCATTTTAGTATCTGAATTCTAATTTCCTGAGATCTAATGTGCACTTAACCCTGGACGCAGATTTGCGGACAACATAAGCCTTCACTTAATCTACTTGAGAAAATAACTTCAGAGTGAGTCAGAATAAATCAAATGTAACAATTTATTATCAGTCAGGTAAATATGTATTATGACAATTATCTCCACAGCCAATTCAACGATATCAAATCAATACAAGACATCAAACTCTCAAAGACGAATCTAAGAGTAAAATGCATTCCTGAGATTAAATGTATTAGATGTATTAGAAAAATACATAGTACAGAGTATGTGGAGATACTCTGTACTACGGGCATTCTGGACATCCTTTTGCTGCAATCCTTTAAATACGAAACCAAGAAAAGACATCCTCCAAATGGAGACCTGTACAAACAATTGGAATTTGCATTAAGCCAGGTCCCAGACCTGGGTGGTCTACACCTCAAATGGGAACAAAAGGTAATTTGCATGGGATTGCTCTCTACGGTGATCAAAGTTTCTCTTAACTCTTAGGATCTGTATTATCTTTTAGTAAGATTAAGACCATTGTACCACTTGCCACTATGCCACTATTCAAATGAAACCAAACATGACTGTAAATCTTATTTGCATTCATTTAGAACATTATATTCTTGACCAGTTTGAGTGAATCCAGTGGAGGGAGGAGATGAAAAGGCACAGATGCAAATGTGAGAGAGGTGTTTCCTGCACCACCCCTCTGTGGGGTGTCCTGAAGATGCCAGTGCATTGTTTGCCTCTCAGGAGATCAAAGTATTCTAGTTTCTTTTATCCTTACATTTGTAACCTAATTTGTGTATGCTGATGTGGCGGTCAAGATCTGCCTGTTCAGGCCAGCAGGGTTAAAGACATAAGCAGCTGTCTCTAACTGATGCTCATTTGAACAAACACACTCTAAAAATCAGCATCCATTTTTTTTCTTATGTGCAAAATAATGTGTATTAGGGTTATTTTGGAAGTATGTATATATATATATATATACTGTATATATATATATATATATATATTTGCTATAAATAACCCGTAGCCGGGTTCGGCTAATATATGTTTCTGTTGATGGATGCGCATTCTGGCTTCCCAACACATTACAACAACAGTGATGGGGGAAGAAAAAAAACGTCGAAAAACCATTCACTTTTGTTCAATGAGAATGACAATTATTTTATCACGCGTTGACGCAGTTTTTTTTATTATGAAAGTCTGTTGCTCACTGGCTCTGAATACACATACAGACAAACCATGGGTCACCGGAGGGGTGGGATGTTGATCAGTATTGGCTTGGGATGGGTGTCATCATCACGCATCTCAACCAATGAAAGCATTTGGGGTGGGCCTGACTGCAGCAGCACTCACATGAAGTGCTCACGACTTCATAAGTGGGAAATAGGAAGTTTCTGCACGTGAAGACAGCAGAGAAGCACAGTGGAGTGCATCGTTTTGTTAACTTTGTGGTTTATTATTTTGAGTCGTCTGGGACCAGTGTTGCCAAGCCTGCGGTTTTCCCGCAGAATTGGGCTACTTTAACGCTGTTGTTTTTCATGTCCACAGGTTGAAGCGACTCCAATAACATGATATTTATTCCCTGGAATGTGAATTTTAGCGATTAGGCTACTTTTGAGAAACGAGTTGGCGGGTTTTCTTGTGAAAACCTGGCAACACTGTCTGGGATGCAGTAACACACGGACCTCTCACAATATATTGCTTTACAGATCCATCACTTTTGCGGCTCATAAATGTTCACGCAATCATGCTGCACGTATCAGAAGTTCAGCGCTCCGACACTATATGCGTACCACGCCCGAGCCCAACTGAACCGTGCTCTGGCCCACTTCTTCCAATCGAGCCAGGGATGGCTAAGCGAACCGTTCCCGAGCGTGGCATGGAGCGATCACACTAGTCAAATGAACCAGGCTTTGGGGGTCAAACACGCTCGGGCACGGTGTGAGTACACCCTTATTCTCCCGCATCCCGCACACACGAGCCTCTACCTGCCCGCACACGCTCTCGCCCATCAAGTGTTGTCCCACGCCTCACTCTGTTGCATTGGGTCCCGCGATAGTGCAGGTCTCTACTCAGAAGGTGCCTGTTATACTGTTTTGATCGAGGCTCTGGACTCTGAGCATAACTTGTTTTTCTATAACAAACTATAAAATATTTTCTATAAAACCGTTAATGCCCTGGCAGTGGCAAATAGCTTTGGTTTTATATTTAATTTGATTTGCTGTGAGCATGTAAGAAATACTGCTGCTGCACATATAACATTTATGAATAACTCCCATATATAACATACATGAAATTACCCCCATAGGAGGTCTATACAGGTGGAGCTGGGGAAGGTGGAGGGTTTCTGAAGTGCGCTGCAACTGTTACAGCAAGCACTAGCCGAGTATTTGAATGTTGAGCAACAAGCTCAATGGCTGCTGAGTTAACAGAGCATAATCGTGATCTAAACACCTTTACATGCCATCTGAGCAGAGAGCACAAGCCCTATAACCTTAGACCATCTGTTACATCAGGTGTGAGGTATGGTGAGAGCCCAGACGTCCCAGTCTGATCCTCTCGCTTTCATTATCAGAAAAAGGATTACATCAATCACTACTTCTATTAATAACAGTATGTTCAACACTGCATTTCCCATTCAACACCCTTTGTTTAAATGAAGCCCTCAAAGGATCACATACTGTATAGTAATAATAACTTAATCAATAAATAACAATGGTGCTTACATTATTATATTAATTATACTTACACATTGTTTTAACAAACCCTTTTTGTCTGGGAAAGAGTTGGGACCATAGTGACTAAAAACAGATATTTTCAGCTGTGTTTTAGTTACATCATGTAAAACAACTAATAGTGACACCTAGTGGTGTGGATGCAGTGTCATTCAAAAAGATGATCAGTTACCAATAACAAGATAGCATTATTGTCAGTCATGATTCATTTATTCCACAAGCAAAAGTGTCTCTAACTGCTTTTGAAGAAGCTTATGTTCTAAAATAGTTTGACACCCACCTCATTCCCTCAAAACCCAAGAAGATTAATACCAAGAAAACCATTTACAAATTTATTACACCAACAGGAACAATGTGAGCAGGAGTTTTAAAGCTGAATTTACTTTGATGGCTGTCCATGCTGCTCATCCTGTTAGAATGAACATGCTGTATGTTATGAAGCTTTAGGAGCAGTTATTATTGTTATTCTGGCCTCATGACTTTACACATAAATAATTAATTCAGCTTATTTATTGGGATGCTCCAGCTCACAATTTGAAATATTTAAATATTTCCCATACAGGCCATGCAGTCCCACATTTTAAAGGAATTTAACTTCACTTCTGTTAAAATATTTTATGTACATTTTTATAATATATTTAGCAAAGTACCACTCATTTTGCACCCATTTTAATAAGTGACAAAGTTGACTAAACACTTTTCCGACATAGTGCTTCAATATTCAAGTACATGGCAGTTCTTTAAAAATATCATTGATGTTTTGGCTCCTTGAAGGTTTGAAACAGTTGGCCTCGTTCACTTTAAAAAAACCTGTCAAGCTTGATTTTGATTGTTCTTGAGAGGTGAACAAACCCCTTTTTGTAACAGGGACCAAATTAATGCGAACTCCACCTTTGAGAAGGAATATAGAGTCACTCCTCTGCTTGCCAATAACAAAGAGAAACGTGGCCTTGCATTGGATGGCAAACTGAAAGATGAAGACACCAACCTGGCTTCTTCAACAATGTCAGTTAATCTTTATTACAGCAATTGAATATGTCCTTAAATAGGTAGTTGGATAATGTAAAAGTCATCTGCATTAGACAGATCTTCTGGCGCATCCCAATGACATCTCTGTATTTTTATTCAGTACAAAAAATCGAAATACTTTTATGTATAAAAATGCACAGGCAGATAAACAATGTGACTTATCTGAATCTCTCTATCTCTCTGCAGTCTGCTACCCAACATGGATAAACAAATGCAAGGCCTTGCTGTTTCCTACAAAATTAAGGTTACCCTCATGATGGGAGGTGGTCTCTTGGGAAGCCTAACATTAAGGTTTGCATCTTTACATTTCATCCCAATGTCTCAGTGAAGAGTCATAGAAGAGAGCACTTTACCTCCTTCTTTCTCTGATGACTTTTCCTCTGCTATTAAATAAGACATTTCCCTTGATAATGCCCGAACACAACTACCTAACAGTCTGCTTAGTTGGCTCGTCATTAAACAACAATGAAAATAAATCCAGCAGTACATGCTATGATGTGATTTACCATTGTGAGCAGTGAAAGTACTCAAGACATGTTTATCTTCCGTACACAGTGATATTACCGCTGAACTCCCCCTGGTTCTGATGTCACCTAAACCAGCAGGTGAGGTTTCTGTTCTTTTATATTTAAAATGAGGGGCCTTGTGTGTGTAAGGTATATACAGTCCAGTTGTACATGGATATTTCTATATTTGTGATCATAACTTATTTTAAATTTCAAATATACATTATTCCCTGTTTATAAAGTGGCACTGCTATGAAACATTCTAAAAAAGCATCGTTTTCTTGTCTTGTAACTGCATCCTTGTGCATTCGCAAATTGAGCAGAAGTGTAAGTATCAGTGTAAACTTGTTTCCCATGTTGAGAAAGAAAGAATTTTAAACCTTATTTGTTTTGAGGGGCCTTGTGTGTGTAAGGTATATACAGTCCAGTTGTACATGGATATTTCTATATTTGTGATCATAACTTATTTTAAATTTCAAATATACATTATTCCCTGTTTATAAAGTGGCACTGCTATGAAACATTCTAAAAAAAGCATCGTTTTCTTGTCTTGTAACTGCATCCTTGTGCATTCGCAAATTCGCAGAAGTGTAAGTATCAGTGTAAACTTGTTTCCCATGTTGAGAAAGAAAGAATTTTAAACCTTATTTGTTTTCATTTTGAATCTTAGACTTTGAGGCTTTAACAAAAAATTAAACGTTTTATTTTTTTTTATCCAGGACTGATATCAACCTTGAATAGAATACAGCCGTTGACGGAGAGGAGCAAGTCAGAAGGAGAGACACTCAGGAATAGATACAGATTCCAAACAACCTCAATTCATGAGACTATAGACCCTAGTTGCAAATACCTGTAAAAGGAATTAGCTGTATAATGTTAAACATGGGCTAAAAGCCTTGTACACTAAGAAGAACTCACTGACACTGAAATCAAGTGTTGGTCTGATGCTGATGATGTAATGTTTATTTCTTCTACCTTTATCATGAGATCTCAGATTAATAATGTTTCAGTTTCTTTTTGTATGTGAATGTAAAATATAAAGGAGTAATGAACAACTTTATAATTATATTAAGTCGTATTTTGTTTTAATGTCTGTGGTGATGGTGGAAATGAATAAACATTGGACTGTTATTTGGACCACTACCAAAGTCATTCCTCATCCTTCATCATGACTTTATATATATGCAGGGGAGCAGTGAAGCAGTTAATTATTATTATTATATATAATATAATATTTATCATCCTAAAAGTATTACTACGCTATAATAGTAAATTACACATATTGTTAGAACACGGTATGTAGCCTATATATATATATAAACTTCTGACTTCAGATCAAATATTACGTAGGTATTGTTAAATGGGTGTTATGAATGTTTATCATCTATTAACAGACTAAAGCAGTGAGTGTCACTGGTGATAACGATTGAGTCGCCGATTCCTGGTTGCAGCAGTGGATTAGCTTTAGCAGTGTCAATTTGCTGCATATTCGCTTGTGCGTCTGAATTCACACTCAAGGTCACCTAAACAGAGCTGCTGTATGACAAAGGTAAGCTTCACTTAGTTGTGTAGCATACATCGTCGCGTAGTTCACCTTAAAAGCGCATAAGCATGACAAAGCGGCGATGAAGAACCGCTTGAGAGAATGAAGATGCTACTGCGTCACTTTCAGTTTAATCCCACTGAAACTATTGGTTAGCTTAACCATAAGGGAAAATAACAAACGTGTTCCGAAGTGCATGTTTGACGAACGCTGTACTTTAAAGAGTTGCGGTTGTGCTATTGAAAATACAATTATGTCCGAGAGTTATCGCTTAAATTTGCTGTAAATCTTTAGGACAGACTGTTGCGAGGTCTGTACTCATGTTGTCAAATGTCATAGTAAATATGCTGGGCGAATACAGATCAGAGAATATTGTTTGTTTGTTACGCGTAACACTCAGCATCTGACTCTATACTTAAATAGCAATTGCGTGATCGTTATAAGCATTGGCTAGTTTACATATTCTGTTCTGCATCGGGTGTATTATAATTGTATTGGGCCGTGTGAACTTCCCAGCATACACTGCGCGCACTACGTTGTTTCCGGTTAGCTACTGGCTATCGTGAGACACCGGGATGATCAGACCTCATTCAACGGGCCCGTGTTTTTTAAGTAAACCCGCTGGTCTTCGTTATTGGAACTGTAATATCGATGATTGCCGTCAGCACTACGAGAGTGACCAGCATTGGTCCGCTAGACGTCAGTTCATTGTGAAACACATTGAAGAGTTCGAGGGAAATGCTCTTGATAAGCTACTGGCCCTGTCGATGGTCTGGGTTAACCATGTTTTCCTGGGATGCAGGTGGGGATTAGATTGAATAGGACGTGAGAATTGGGCTGTTTACTTATTTTTGGCGGGAGTTTGAGTGAATACTAATATCACAAAAGTCCTGGGCAAAGTTTATTTTGTGTCATATTTATACAGAACATCTTAATTGCAAAGTTATACATTAGTAATGCCAACCAAAGCATGTTGTCAACAATATGACTGTTCTTTTTTTGGGCAGGTATGGCTCCCAATTGATGCACAAGGTGCTTGAGATGGCAGAAGGGATTGATGTTGGCAAAATGCTCTCATATGAACTAGTTCCAAACGTTGAAGCAAAAAAGAGGCTATATTCATCTGATGGAAGTAAGTCTATCAATGCTTGAAATCAATCTATCTGTCTGTTGATCGATCGGTCAGTCTTCCTATCCATATATCACAGCATTGAAAAGTTATTCTGTGGGTGTTTTGCATCAAATATATCAAATGTAAATATTTTATTCAGCATTTAAACAAAATAACATTGAGTATTCATTTGCATGTAAATGGATATTTTAATCATATATGATTTCATATCTCAGGTGAAGAGCCCATGAGGAAGATGCCTTTGTCAAAATTCACATCCAGACCTCGATTTGAACCAGTACACTTTGTAAGTGGCGGAAGCAGTGGCAGTCGAATTGGAGAAACTGACGAAAAGGAAAACGAGAAGGAGCGCAGGAGGGGTGAGATGAATGACGTAAGACAAAGGGAACCAGATCATCAGCCGTATAATGGTAACCGGTATGGTTATGATTCTTTGCATGAGCACAGAAGTAAGGACGTGGCCTCGGGCGGCACAAGTGGGCTTGGCTATGGCAGCAGAGGGTCCACCCCGAACTTCATGGGCAAGGTGCAACAGGAGTACACCGCTAGATATGAGGCGCATACTGGCAGACAATCGGACTCCTTCTCACATGCAGGCCGAGCTAATGGATACGGAAGTGCTGGACGGTCTGGAGCCTGGGATAGCGGACGGCGTGGACTGGGATTTGGACACCAGGATAGACCGACGTCCAGCAAGGCTTTCAGCAGGTTATACGACGGTCCAAACAGAGGCGGCTCTGGCCTTCTCCCAACACCCTCACTGCTGTTATCTATCCCCACATCAACAATTGACGAAAAACAGAGGCTGATTACCAGAGTATCATCGGCCGTTGCCATTACCCTGAGAGATCCTGCGTTCATGAGTGGACCAGACATGCCAAACTACAATTTCATACTCAGCCGCAGCATTCAGGCTTGCAAGACGAACCCAGAGTACATCTATGTTAATTTAAGAGATATTCCACCCGCTGACCTTCCTAAAAACAGAAAAGTACCCTCTGAAGGATATGCATGTGAACTTAGGTGTCAGTCTGTGTACCTTGCCACAGGGTACTCTGGAAGCAAAAACGGTGCCAGAGACAGAGCATCAGAACAGGCCGTCAAGCTGTTCATGAGGCCGGTGGAAATTCGTGTCCTGCAACGGCTGTACAAGCATACTTCCGTTAATGATATGGTGGTGTGCCAGGTTCACACTCCAAACCCAATCCTACCCCCACCTCTTCGCAACCCCGAGGACAAGCCACTCCCTAGTACCAAGGGCCAGTATGAGCCTGACCGAAGCAAACACTGGACAGAATTTGTAATCATGGAGAACGCACATGATGCCATCTGTATACTCAACAACTCGGCTGCGTTCAACCGCATGAAAGTTGATTACACTTTTGACCCGGTTCCCAACAGCAATTTATGGCTCTGTAGTGTGTATTTACAGGACGAGCTGGTGGCAGAAGCCAGAGGGACCAAGAAGAGCTCAAAACATGCAGCGGCAGAGGCGGCAGTAAGGAAGTTGCGAATGAACCAGACTGCTCGTCAACAAGAGCAGCAACAGCAGCAGAATTTTTCTGGAGGCAACCACACTACAGACCACCCTGGCAGTCGCTACGCCCAGCAAAGCAACAAGAAAGCACAGCTAGGAGAATTGGTCATCCTTGAAAACTCTGATAACGCTATTTGCATAATAAATGACACCGCTCAATTTAATAAAGTGCTTGCTGACTACAAGTTTACGGTTCTGCCAGACCATCGCTGGAGGTGTGAAGTTTACCTCGATGGTCAGTATGTGGCTGCTGGCCTTGGACCCAAAAAGACAGTGAAGCACATTGCAGCAGAGGAGGCCCTCGCCACACTTCGGCGCACACAAGCTGTGGTGAAGTCCAACCTCAGAAAAGAGGGCCACGTGGATGCAATTTCCCGAAATCAAATCATGGCTCGTTCTGGAGAGGAATCCATGCGGCAGGAGATCAAGGAGGACAACATTGGTAACCAGCTACTTCGTAAGATGGGCTGGACAGGTGGTGGTTTGGGTAGAGAAGGAGAGGGCATTGCTGAACCCATCAAGGTCAAAGAGCAGTTTACCAGGGAAGGACTCGGTATGGACATGGACAGGCACGGTAATCAGCTGACTAAGCGTGATATTGAGGAAATAATTCGGAATTATGCGAGTTCAGACCGTCAAGATGACCTGCGCTTCTCCACAGAGCTTAACAATGAAGAGCGCAGGCAGATACACCAAGTATCCCAAAGATATGGGCTGCGCAGCAAATCATACGGACAGAGCCGACAGCGCTTCCTCGTGGTTAGCCGCAGAGTTCAGAAGGAACAGCTGATTGGTCAGCTATTGCAGGAGGGGCAGGTGGGACGATATGAACTGGTGAAACCTCAGGCTTCACAATGACTAGGCTCAGCAGCCCTCTGAGAAACCAACAGATGACCATTAATAAAAGCAAAGTGGTGTTACTTGTTACTTTTCCTTTAATTTGTTTCCGAAGAGTGTAAAATATATTTTTTGAAAAGCCTGGAAAACCTGTCAGTTCTCAATGACTAGTTGTGTACCCTTTGCCTCTCTTTACCATGTATTTCTGTACACTTTGTTGAGATTTGTCATAGGTTAGATCAAGACCATATGATAAACACGTTACTAACTTAACTTTTGTCATATATATCCTGTGAATTATATTTATTGATATGGATGTTAGTAGTGGGGCCTTATGGCAGCATGTGCTCTTCTCTGAAATGACATTCCATTTTATGTTTCACAATGGACAAGATATCATTCACTCAGTCTTTCATCTGTTGTAAGATAATCACTTGAAATATAAAAATATCCTTTAAGTAATTACAAAACGGTATATATATTTTTTTGTCATTTTCTGGTTGTTGATTGTAGAATTCAATATTTATCTCAACCTTAAATCTTTCAACTCCCTGTCTGGCAAATGCCTGAACAGCAATCCCTGTAAAGTTTGCTATTGCGAATACTGTCAACCAGTCTGCTTGTACTGACACATTAAATTTAGTCTGGTCATTGTTCATTTTCTAGCTCATTTAATGAAATGTAAATGCTTATCTTTGTTCAAGAACAAATACCATAGAGTTAATTTTACTGTTTATTTACAAGAATTGAGAAAATGTACAGTTTCTTACATGGGTTACTAGTGCAAATCCGACAGTCTTGGTAAATTAGAAAAATGAAGATTAGCTTAAATGGATACTGCATGACAGCATCACATCCATATGTTTGGAGAAGCAATTTAATGTAAAAATAAACGGCACTTTAATGGAACTTAAGAAAACAAGCAAAATAACAATGCATCTGGGGTGCAAGACACAAAATAATGAATACAGGGAAGGAGGGAGAAGCAATACACTCTATGCCAATTTGTAATATTCTGACTCCCAGGCCTTAGGCATGGGGCTTTGTGGGACAGACAGATCACGGTGTACCTTCGAACAATTACTGCTGACAAACTGGCACACAGTGTCAATAGGCAACACGTGAACTGCTTAATTAAAAGAACAAAGCACTTGCACTTGATAAAAAAGGGCCAATTCCAACATCTGGTACATTACAATTTTCAAGCTGGTTTTAAAAGGTCAGGTTTTCCAAGTGCAGTTATAAAGGCATGTTTCTGAAACATCTAAGCTTTCCGTACAAGACAATATATCATCCATCTTTAATGTTCTTGCAGTTTAATTTGGAACTCTGAAAGACACATTAAGCGACATTCGGTATGACACTTTTGCAGAGACGCAAAGAAATCACTCTCAACCAACATGTTAATACCCAAAATGAAATCAGCCCACAGTGTAGGAGCAACTTATAAAACCAAAGAAATAAGATGACAAAAGTGAGGACAGGCCAAATAAAAGCAAGTAACCCTAGCAACAATATTTTGTTAAACTAAGGTTCGTCCTCATCTAGGATAAGGTTCTGCATGAAGAGGGAGACCACAACACAACATCACTCTAATCCTGCAACAGCTACAGAACAGACAATTCCACAGAGTACATGGAGAATGATTCAAAACATGATGTGTTTTATTTTATTCTTTGCCAGGTGGTTTTCCTCTTGTTGGTGAGGCGGACTATTGTTCATATGTGAACTGTAAGGAGGGTCAACAGTCACGCCAGCTCTGTTCCACAATGGCCGACACACGCTTCTCATACTCTCTCTTGTTTTCCTGATACAGCTGAGCTGCCTGGCTGTTGGCAGGGCTGTTTGGGTTCGGCTCATCCAGTAAAGACTGTGACAATGAAAGGCATGTTAACAACCTGAATAATGTCCTCACATTTTTACAGTACTATCAAAAAGGCATAAAGAAGAGTTTCAAGCAAAAATCATGCTAATTAAAACATTTAGTTTCAGGTTCCTACACATTTTCCAATTTCAAAATTCCATACTTTTCCAGACTCAAAAAAAGGCTTCTCTATAGATTTTCAGACAATATTTGAAAAATGAATTATTAAGGGTGTAATGATTAAAGGTCAAATTCACAATATGAATTGAATTTGATACTCTCCAACTACTACAAACCAGTGTTGTTATAGTACCGAATAAAATTTAACTTGTTTTCGGTACAAAAGCAAAAATATTTGTAGCATGTAGTCTAATTAAACATTGCTTTATAAAGGTCAAGTGAAACGTTTGTAATAAAATTAATAAACAAATGTATTATATAGAACAAGTGGCAAGTCTATAAGTTTGCCCCATCCACTGCAATGGTTATCACCAAGACAATCATTGCCATTTCAGATTCAGTCCCGCATTTTCTGCACTCTTGCAAAAACTCCAGTTATAATCAATGAATACATCTACACTGCACAATGAATCTCTTATTTGCATTTGTTTACATTTTGTTGGTTATAACGAAACCACACAGAACTTTAAGTGTGTATGCTGAATAAAAACTCATCATTCTGAGCAGTATTGAGAGTATTCTCACTAACTTAAACACGTCTGATTGGCCAGAGCGATCACACGTACCACCTTTCCTGCAGAATGACTGGTATCATTACATTTTTTAAATTTCAGTATTGACTTTGTACCGAAGTAGTGGAACTGTTGACAGCACTAATGAAGAAAAATTCAATTTGAATGTTTGTTTTAATTACTTATAAGACATACAAATTTGTTTCTTTAATTATAAAAAAGTGCTTTTCATTGCAAAATGATCCATCAGGAATGGAGTGAGACAAAAAATCTGCCAAGCACAGGGCAATGGTGACACCGGAATAGAAATAATAATAAAGTAATACAAATTTTTTTTTTAATATAAATTCTCAATTTTATAACGTAGGAAACAGAATGGGGCAACAGTGTGGAAACACAAACATTTCTCCATATTGTTTTCTTTTTTCCATACTTATCCAGAGATTAAAAAATACTAAAATAAAATGTTATACTTTTCCATACTGTGTTTGAACCCTGTAGTTTGTGCAAAAAAATCTGAAATAAGTGCAGACATATCATACCTGTATTGAGGTTAAAATTGAGGAAACATCATATGTTGGACTCCAGCGATTCTGAAGAATATCCAAACATATACTACCATCTGCATAAACTGACCAAAGAATTATATTTTATGGTCCACTGACACTTAATTCTTGCAATGTGATATATGTACACACTTATACTTAAGGAATCCAATATGCAAAGATGTTATAAATGCAATGATAGGATTTTATAAATGTAAAACTTACCATTAGGGTGAAACATTTTGGAGACAAACCGGACTGTAGGAGGTTTGTTTGGATATTCTTCTGTAAATTCTATTGTTAGTTTGAAAGTTCCTATGACAAGCAGAAAAAGAAAATATGAAGCAAAAACCATTTTCCACATGTAAACAAAAAGAACCCCACCATGCCAAATACCACTACACAATTATACAGTGGCACATTTAATCGGTTGTCGTTATTTGGAACCCAATGAGAAAATGTACAGTTTCTTACATGGGTTACTAGTGCAAATCCGACACACTTGGTAAATTAGGGAAAAAATGAAGATTATCTTAAATGGATACTGCATGACAGCATCACATCCATATGTTTGGAGAAGCAATTTAATGTAAAAATAAACGGCACTTTAATGGAACTTAAGAAAACAAGCAAAATAACAATGCATCTGGGGTGCAAGACACAAAATAATGAATACAGGGAAGGAGGGAGAAGCAATACACTCTATGCCAATTTGTAATATTCTGACTCCCAGGCCTTAGGCATGGGGCTTTGTGGGACAGACAGATCACGGTGTACCTTCGAACAATTACTGCTGACAAACTGGCACACAGTGTCAATAGGCAACACGTGAACTGCTTAATTAAAAGAACAAAGCACTTGCACTTGATAAAAAAGGGCCAATTCCAACATCTGGTACATTACAATTTTCAAGCTGGTTTTAAAAGGTCAGGTTTTCCAAGTGCAGTTATAAAGGCATGTTTCTGAAACATCTAAGCTTTCCGTACAAGACAATATATCATCCATCTTTAATGTTCTTGCAGTTTAATTTGGAACTCTGAAAGACACATTAAGCGACATTCGGTATGACACTTTTGCAGAGACGCAAAGAAATCACTCTCAACCAACATGTTAATACCCAAAATGAAATCAGCCCACAGTGTAGGAGCAACTTATAAAACCAAAGAAATAAGATGACAAAAGTGAGGACAGGCCAAATAAAAGCAAGTAACCCTAGCAACAATATTTTGTTAAACTAAGGTTCGTCCTCATCTAGGATAAGGTTCTGCATGAAGAGGGAGACCACAACACAACATCACTCTAATCCTGCAACAGCTACAGAACAGACAATTCTACCGAGTACATGGAGAATGATTCAAAACATGATGTGTTTTATTTTATTCTTTGCCAGGTGGTTTTCCTCTTGTTGGTGAGGCGGACTATTGTTCATATGTGAACTGTAAGGAGGGTCAACAGTCACGCCAGCTCTGTTCCACAATGGCCGACACACGCTTCTCATACTCTCTCTTGTTTTCCTGATACAGCTGAGCTGCCTGGCTGTTGGCAGGGCTGTTTGGGTTCGGCTCATCCAGTAAAGACTGTGACAATGAAAGGCATGTTAACAACCTGAATAATGTCCTCACATTTTTACAGTACTATCAAAAAGGCATAAAGAAGAGTTTCAAGCAAAAATCATGCTAATTAAAACATTTAGTTTCAGGTTCCTACACATTTTCCAATTTCAAAATTCCATACTTTTCCAGACTCAAAAAAAGGCTTCTCTATAGATTTTCAGACAATATTTGAAAAATGAATTATTAAGGGTGTAATGATTAAAGGTCAAATTCACAATATGAATTGAATTTGATACTCTCCAACTACTACAAACCAGTGTTGTTATAGTACCGAATAAAATTTAACTTGTTTTCGGTACAAAAGCAAAAATATTTGTAGCATGTAGTCTAATTAAACATTGCTTTATAAAGGTCAAGTGAAACGTTTGTAATAAAATTAATAAACAAATGTATTATATAGAACAAGTGGCAAGTCTATAAGTTTGCCCCATCCACTGCAATGGTTATCACCAAGACAATCATTGCCATTTCAGATTCAGTCCCGCATTTTCTGCACTCTTGCAAAAACTCCAGTTATAATCAATGAATACATCTACACTGCACAATGAATCTCTTATTTGCATTTGTTTACATTTTGTTGGTTATAACGAAACCACACAGAACTTTAAGTGTGTATGCTGAATAAAAACTCATCATTCTGAGCAGTATTGAGAGTATTCTCACTAACTTAAACACGTCTGATTGGCCAGAGCGATCACACGTACCACCTTTCCTGCAGAATGGCTGGTATCATTACATTTTTTAAATTTCAGTATTGACTTTGTACCGAAGTAGTGGAACTGTTGACAGCACTAATGAAGAAAAATTCAATTTGAATGTTTGTTTTAATTACTTATAAGACATACAAATTTGTTTCTTTAATTATAAAAAAGTGATTTTCATTGCAAAATGATCCATCAGGAATGGAGTGAGACAAAAAATCTGCCAAGCACAGGGCAATGGTGACACCGGAATAGAAATAATAATAAAGTAATACAAATTTTTTTTTTTATATAAATTCTCAATTTTATAACGTAGGAAACAGAATGGGGCAACAGTGTGGAAACACAAACATTTCTCCATATTGTTTTCTTTTTTCCATACTTATCCAGAGATTAAAAAATACTAAAATAAAATGTTATACTTTTCCATACTGTGTTTGAACCCTGTAGTTTGTGCAAAAAAATATATAAATTCTCAATTTTATAACGTAGGAAACAGAATGGGGCAACAGTGTGGAAACACAAACATTTCTCCATATTGTTTTCTTTTTTCCATACTTATCCAGAGATTAAAAAATACTAAAATAAAATGTTATACTTTTCCATACTGTGTTTGAACCCTGTAGTTTGTGCAAAAAAATCTGAAATAAGTGCAGACATATCATACCTGTATTGAGGTTAAAATTGAGGAAACATCATATGTTGGACTCCAGCGATTCTGAAGAATATCCAAACATATACTACCATCTGCATAAACTGACCAAAGAATTATATTTTATGGTCCACTGACACTTAATTCTTGCAATGTGATATATGTACACACTTATACTTAAGGAATCCAATATGCAAAGATGTTATAAATGCAATGATAGGATTTTATAAATGTAAAACTTACCATTAGGGTGAAACATTTTGGAGACAAACCGGACTGTAGGAGGTTTGTTTGGATATTCTTCTGTAAATTCTATTGTTAGTTTGAAAGTTCCTATGACAAGCAGAAAAAGAAAATATGAAGCAAAAACCATTTTCCACATGTAAACAAAAAGAACCCCACCATGCCAAATACCACTACACAATTATACAGTGGCACATTTAATCGGTTGTCGTTATTTGGAACCCAAAGCTCAACCCTTATTCAGCAGTCAGTGTGGTTTACATTATGACATATTAATCTGATCAAACGTAACAGTGAAGACATTTATAATGTTACTCACTTTGAATACAAATCATTTTAAAAAGTACTATAATTTTACGTAATATTTTTAAAATACAGCATTATACAAAGGTTTGGGGCCAGTAAGTTTTTATTAAAAAGAAATTGATACTTTTAGTCCGCAAGATCACATTAAATTGACCAAATGTGGCAGTAAAGACTGTCACATTTTGTCACATTGTAAAGACCTAAATACACTGTTACAAAAATGTTTTACTTCAAATGAATGCTGGTTTTTTTTTCAATTTATATTCATCCAAAAAAACAAAAACTACATATTAAGCAGCACTGATAATAGAGACATGTTTCATGAGCAGCATATGAAAATGACATCTGCAGGATCGTGTGAAACTGACTGTAGTAATGACTGTTGAAAATTCAGCATTGCCATCACATAAATAAATTACATTTTTCAATATATTAAAATAGAAAACAGTCATTATAAATAGTAATAATATTTTGCTGTGTCAACTGTAGCTATTTATCAAATAAATGCAACCTAGGTGAGCAAAAAATCTTTTTTTCTTAAATGAACCAAAATCTTTGAAGCCATTTCTCCAATTACCACATTAAAACTGAAAAAAATTAAAATGTCAAACAGCTAGTGTTTTCTTGACTTACCATCTTCAAAGGGTGTTCCTTCAGGGCTGTAGGCAGAAGAAATGGGTCAACATGTCAGGTTACACAGAACACTTGGCATGACAGCAAGAAACAAAGCCAAAGCACTGGCCAACGTGCAACAGACCTGCGCATTACTATAATCCAAAAATAACAAAGTACACAGTCTACGGATATGACATTATAACCTGTTTCCAACACAACACACAGCTCTATTCAGGACACTCAACGATCAAATAACCAGCACCTCTTATGGGGGACCATTGGCCATCTGGCCTATTTAAAACTGCTTATATTACCGCTAACAAGCTAGATGTTATCTTACAGACCTCAAAAAGTCCGAGACAAACAAAATTGTCAGTGTGTTCTGTTTACTGCTCATCGCTGTCAAAAAAAAGGCAAATGATACAAACCCAAAAATGACAGCGTTCCAGACCATGATGTTGTTTTCCGACGGGGCTCCGCTAACTCCTGCCGGTGGATCCTCCTGGAGACTGAAAAACAAGTTACCCGGAGAAGTTACATTACATATACTACACCTACACCACGACAACACTAAATACCGCACACATGACATCCAAATACATGATCGGAGAGGGATAATGACATTTATAAATGGCTATTGTGAGGGGGGGGGAGTCGCCATGTTAAAGCCCGAGAGCAGCCGGTGTTCAAAACGCTACCAAGGGCCTTTAGCATTTTGTGTGCCGCTAACCGTTTAAAGTCTCTCATCAGACGCCGTCTTGCTGGGGTTGACATGGTTTAATTGGATAGCCAAGACGTAAACATAAGGTATCGACGTTGTTACTTTGAATCAGGTTCAATTCTTTTAGTTCAACAGACGTCGGTTTCGTCGATTCGGTTAAACATCGATGTTAGCCGAATAGCCGTTCGCTCGGATCCTCCTCCTCCTCCTCCTGCCTGTTCTCTCTAGCAGCCGGTGTTCAAAACGCTACCAAGGGCCTTTAGCATTTTGTGTGCCGCTAACCGTTTAAAGTCTCTCATCAGACGCCGTCTTGCTGGGGTTGACATGGTTTAATTGGATAGCCAAGACGTAAACATAAGGTATCGACGTTGTTACTTCGAATCAGGTTCAATTCTTTTAGTTCAACAGACGTCGGTTTCGTCGATTCGGTTAAACATCGATGTTAGCCGAATAGCCGTTCGCTCGGATCCTCCTCCTCCTCCTCCTCCTGCCTGTTCTCTCTACTAAGCCGCCGCCAGTCGGGCTCTCTGGGACTGGACCATACCAACATAAAGTGGGGGAGAAGCAACTGTGCGATTAAATAAAAGTGAGCTCTTTCACACAACTGTAAACCTATTCGTGGTTTATCATTAGAAGAGAACATGTGTGACTGGCTTTATTAATTCGAGTGATTTTGATTAATAAGAAAAACAGATATGGTTAAAGCCGTTTAGAGAAAAACCTTCAAACACGTACAGTTGTAGCAGCCTGGCGTAGTTACGTCATGGGTTTGACAGACGTGGTGAGTACAGGAGCAAACATTTAATAGTGTAAATTGAAGTGGAGTACGAAAAATATGTGTGAACAGTGTTAACTCAATAGTATTTTTGCTTATATTACGAATTGCTAAGGTGCAAGAAATTAAATGACTCGAAATTAATAGTAAAATATATTTATTGTCATTATTATTATTCGAATACATTCCTCACAGATCGACCTGGTGTGGATTAAGTCTTGTTGTAAAATTTTGATCAGTATCACAATGACTTTATCTTTTTTTCCTGAGTAACCTGTGCTGTTTATTAAAATTGCGTGTTCTTCACAGTGTACAATTTTAAGGTACAAAACAAAAACTTACATATAGTGATATTTAAAAAAAAATATGAGTTTAAAATTTACACCCAAGATATTGTAACATTGTTGAAGTGAAACATAATTACAGTGTATTTGTTAAAATGCTGAGGTTAGCATTTTTGTTAAGTAAAAATATCAGCGTTCATGCTTCTCAAAGCATGAACATTAAAAAACATAAAAAATATCTTCTTTCTATTAGGAAACAAAATCCTTAACTGTTAGATTAGCTATTGAACCGAAGGCAGGCTCTCCAGGAAGGAACTCCCCTAGAACGTATGACAGCAGCATCTATGGACATACACACACACAAAGAATTTAAATGTTAATCTGGATATACGTTTCAAAATGGATTTGAACTTCATAACAATCTTAGCAAGAGTCCTCACATAAACCAGTTTCTTGTTCTCCTCTGTGTCCTGGAAGATCTTGAACAAAGTTTCAACATCAGTCTTCTTGAGGATTAAAGCGTTTGAATCTAAAACCACCACAACAATTACTGCATATTGGTAAAGATGAAAGAATCATTAAAAAATGAGAGGGTCTTGGTCTTTACCAAGGCATGGGAAAATATTGCACATACATTTTGAATTTATAAGCTGCAAAGCCTTCTCCTTGGTCGCGTGTTTCTCCTCACTGTCACGTGGCGGCTGGATGGGCACATTTCCCTCTGGCCATACATTCTCCTGGAAATTGTCAATATAGGATGCAATATGAGCTTCGGTGGGATGCATCCTTTTTAAAAAGTTGTTTATTTTCCTGCATGGGAGGAAAGCTTATGATTATCTCCTCATACTGTTAAATATATTTGGTGTTTGAATAAATATGAAATGGGATACTTACTTTTTTAACAAAGGCTGGACTGCTTTTAGAATGGCATCAACAATGTTAATGAGGACTGAGTTACCTGAAGATGGTAAAGACAAACATTGAATGGCAAAGTAAATCAGTTTTTAGTTTCAGTTCTTGGTGATCCAAGAAAAGCCAAACAGGACAAGGAAGTTACATCATACCAGTTATTTCCTTAAGTAACTCAAATATGGCTTTTGTAGCCTCGACTTGCTCCCAGTTGGTCTGAGGCTCCTTTTTCTGAGCCTGTGGCTGATTTGCCATCTCTTCCTTGAGCTGTCCAGTTTTCTCTTTTACTTTGAACTTTTGTGATCCATTTGACTTTTTGTGAGTTAACTTTTCTTTTTTGTTTGTTTTCTCCCCAGACTGAATACTTCTAAAGCCGTCATCTGAGTCAGACTCTACGCCTTCAGTATGGTTCATGACTGAGCTTGAGATATCATTGGAGTGTCCTGAAGGACTAACTAATTTTGACCTATTAACAAAGACATCGAAACTTTCAGCAAGACTCTCCTGTCCATCTGAAACCCCATCCTGTTCATCAGAGGTCTGATCTTCCATATCCGGTTCTCTATTTCTGAAGGTGTCAGTCTCTTCACGAGGGTTACAAAACCTAACGTTTGTAGCTATTGGCCCTTCTACAATGCCCTCCTTTGGCTCTTCATCTGTGTCGATGCAGGCTGGCTGTGCTATTGGTCCACTGTGATGTCCTGAGGCTCCTGCTTCATCAAGCTTATCTTCTCCTCTGGGGTTATGGGACTGGGAAAAAACATAGTATCACCAGAGGGTGGCAGTATTCTCAATAATTTACCTTGTGCTGAAGCTAAAGGTATACTGTACGTCTACTGTAAATCAACAAACTTTAGCTCTTTTGATAAGACATCATATCTTGATGTATATATATATATATATATATTGATCCAAATATATTAAATATTGATCAAAAGTTTGGGGTTGGTAACAGCATGAACATTTTTTAATCTTAATTATTCCAAACTTTTGACCTGTAGTGTATGCTGTAAATCAACTAAATTTAGCTCTATTTGGACAAGATTTCAAATCTTGCTGTATTTTTATTGATCCAAATATATGAAATATTGATATAAATACACTACCGTTCAAATGTTTTAAAAGAAGTCTCTCATGCTCACCCAGGCTGGATTTATTTTTTATCAAAAATATAGTTAAGACAGTAATATTGTGAAATGTTATTACAAAATAGTATTACAATTTAAAATAACTGTTTCTATTTTAATTTATTTCAAAATGTAATTTATTCATTTGCTGGCAAAGCTGAATTTTCAGCAGCCATTACTCCAGTGTCACATAACACTCCAGAAATCATTCTAATATGCTGATTTGCTGCTCAAGAAACATGAACTATTATTAATGTTGAAAACAGTTGTGCTGGCTAATATTTTCTTTTTTGTACCTTTATTCAATTTAATGCATCCTTGCGGCGTAAAAGTATAGTAGTAGTAATTTATTTTTATTGCCATGTCAGCATCTAAAGCTATTTTCACAACAAAAACTGAGTTGGAATAATACAAGAGTTACATAAACACAAAATGAAAAACAAATAAACACAAAAATACAGCAGTTAAAATGATGCAAGATTTTTTTAATTGAGTAAAAGAATTAATTCATTTTGAAAAAAATCTTACTGAACCTAAACTTTTAAACAGTAGCGTTTCATCAGTTTCATCATCAGATTTCCATTAAGCTATTGACCTAAAATCTGTTTTTACCTCATCCTCATCTTGGCCAGGAGTAAGAAAGCTTGCAAGTCCATTCAGAAAACTCCAGACACCTCCTTTATGTTCCTTATTACTCAACAGCTGTGCAATGGGACACAAGAACTGGAATACAGGCTGAGTGTGACCAAGTTGTGCATCAGAAACCAGCTCCTGACGGGAAATGAGAGGAAAACATTGCCAAGTATTTATTTCTACTTCTTTAATTCTAGACAGTGTGTGTGTGACAGCTTACTTGCAAAAAGTGCTCCAAGGCTGATCTAACTTCTTCTGCATATGCACCATCAAGATCCTTCTTTGTTTTCTCTACTATTGCAGATACAGAGGGTAAAGTTGAACTATCCTTAAAAATAACAGCAATAAGAGAAGGAAAAAAAAGATTTTAAAGCAAGCAGCTACATACATAAATCAATAATAAATAATGAGTAAAATATAAATGACTATAATACAAAATAGTCTGGGTTTCGATAGAACAGATGCATTGAAGATTCCTCACCATTTCCTCTCTCACTTGCCAGAGGCTGTGGAAATGAAGTATATCTGATTGGGTCCTTTTCACATCCCAGTTGAGATTCTCAGGGTTATTTCTCTCCTCCAGGTGAACCGTGAAACACAGCTCTTCATTTTCCTTCTGAACCTAAGATAATGTTTTTTTTTGTTTTAATTATTCAACTCAACTTAGCTTGCATGTTGTTTAGCTTTCTTTGTTTTAAAATATGCCTCACATTTGTAACACGGACTGCCCACTTCCCCACCCGCCACATCTCATAGGAAAGCTTAAACTCCATCATATCCTCTTGGACATTTGTTGTTAGGTAAACATCCGTTTCACTGTCCTTTTAAAAGAAAGCACAGCCAAACTTAGTTGTACTGAAAAGCGTTGTAAATGAATTTAATATGCACATTTTCCATACATAATCCGAGTCCATGCAGCTTTTAATGGAGCCCTCTCTGCTGCTTGCACCATCATCTTCAATAACAGCAGATCTTCGTGACGATAAAGCCCTCTGTAAAAGCTCTTGCTCCTTCTTATGTTTTTTCTTTTTGGCTTTCTTTGGCTTGACCTTATCAACAAATTTAGAAAATCGTTCTTTGATCCTATTGCCTGCTTAAATAACAGTGAAAAAAGTAATTAAATTACACTTTATTACATTATTAATTTACACTTACTGCTCATAAATCAAATTACTAAAATGAAAGAGAAAGATACATCACCCTTCTTCTTTTCTTTTCTGTCTACAGACCGAGCATCCTCTGCTTCATCTGTCAATCTGTGGAATTTGTGGAAACCAGAACGAGGCCACCAAATGAGATTAATATGATAAATATGCCTAAACTATATGTTTTTGAGACGACTTACACTTCTGCTTCTTCACTTCCCACAGAAGATGGTCTGCCTTCCCTATCTGAGTTTAGCAGGTCTCCTGTTGAGCTTTTAGAGGTTACTCTATCCAGCTGCAAAACTACCATCTGATTCAGGTTGTCTGGATTACAGAGGCATGTCACAAGCACATCAAGAGCTAGAGATGGACAAAAGGAGTAACAAAGAATCAGTGTATTAGTAGAAAATACACAATACAATTAGAACAGCACAAAAATAACTTAAACATTACTATTCAAAGGGTTGGGGTCTGCTCTACTTCTAAAATAATTCTGGGTAACACTTTACAATGAGGTTCCCTTAGTTAATGTTAGTTAATGTATTAATGAACATGAACAAACAATGAACAATACATTTATTACACTATTTATTCATCTTTGTTCATGTTAATGAAAATAGTTATTCGTTGTTAGTTCATGTTAATTCACAGTGCATTAACTAATGTTTACAAGCACAGCTTTTTATTTTAATAATGCATTAGTAAATGCTGAAATTAACGTTAACTAAGATTAATAAATGCTGTAGAAGTATTTTTCATTCTTAGTTCATGTTAACTAAAGTAGTTAACTAATGTTAACTAATGAACCTTATTGTAAAGTGTTACCGAATCCTGAAACAAATGTATCACAGTTTCCTCAAAAATATTAAGCAGTACACGTTTTCAACATTGATAATAAAAGGAAATGTTTCTTGATCACAAAATCAGCATATTAGAATTGAAGTAATGATGCTGAAGATTCAGCTTTGCATCATAGGAATAAATTGCACTTTACTGTTTTAAATTGTAATAATATTTCACATAATTTTTTACTGCATTTTTGATCAGATAAGTGCAGCCTTGAAGAGAATATGTTAAAAAAGACAGTAAAGATTTTTGTAAAAGACCATTTAGAAGCACCAACAATCATGATTTGGTATACAAAAAAAACAAACATATTGATTAAAAAAAATCTTATTGATTTACAATTAATTCTATAAAATAAATTTAATTTTGAATTTATATTAAATATGATGTTGGAGGCAGTTAGAGAAATAATTCACTCTTTGTCGCCATAACCATTTTGGACAAAGGTAAGATCAGTTGTACTGACATCCATCAGTACTGACGCACACAAAAATGAAGATGAACAAGTTTGTAGAAAGTGACATGTTGAGACAAGCCTTAAAGCATTGAGTGGCAAAGTAACATTTGTTTCAGAGATACTGTCCTAAACATAATGAATGCTACAAATGTTGATGCCAGACAACTGATGAATGTTCTGATCATTAGAAAGATCATTAGAAATGATTTAGCACAAAGCTCAGTAGGACTAACCTTTTGTAGCAACAATCTCAATTAGGACACACCGGTAGAGTTTTGCTTCCCAAAGGTACTCAGGAAAAAGGTTTCGCACCAGAGCTTCAGAGAAGGTTCTGAGGACTGCCATCTCCTCAGATCTTGAACCGAACACTGGAGAACTGAAACAGATAAACAAATAAACAAGACAGTTTTCATAATGACTCATTTTATTAGCAGTATTCCTGGAACTGCATCAGGTGATCAGTCATAGGTTAGGATAGAAAGTCCATGAGTTTTGGCAGAAATTCTTTGATTTTAAAATATGAGCTCAAGAATCATAAGGCCCAGTTGCTGTGCTGATAGAAAAGGAAGAAAAATAATGAAAAGATAGTGATGTCACTCATGTCATAATATTATACAATATTCTCAGAATAAATTAGGCATAATGACACAGACAAACTTGCTCACCCATCTGACTGCTTTGCATTACGCAGGTGCTGAGTGAAGATCCTAATACAACCCACACTGGTAACAGACAGATCGAAGTTCATTGCCTTGCAAATGACTCTCTCGACAACCAGGTTAAACTCCCTCTGTAGTGTCCTATGAAGGGGCTGACTGTCGCCAAATTCTGGGACCGTGTACCACGGCTGGACCAGGTGAGCATAGGCACATTTAAAGACTACAAAAACATAAATAAATAAATTTAATCATGCACAACTGCAATGATCTCCTTGTAAAACCATGTATGTCTCTTTTGGTGAGGAAATTAACAGGGTATAAATGCCACACAAACCTATGAAACATTACCATATTACCTGATCCTCAGCTTCCTGTTCTATGTCATGTTTACAACAAATTTCATGGTCATGTCAAGAAATTTCCTTCAGTCACTATCTCCAGACATGCTTGAGAGGCACAATGGGGGTGAAGCTTGCGAACAACAAAATTATTATTTACCCTGGAGAAGTGACCTCTGTACATTTGGATATTGCATTGCCTGAGACACAGTTTGTCCAGTTCTGGTAGCATCAATCTCATCAGTGACACCAACATGGTGACCTTTCTTTTTCTGAAACAGGAGGATTAAGGTGCAAGGGATCAAACTCCAGTAATTTCACTGATATCAGAGTCATGAATACAGAAATTAGGTCACTCAGTAAGAGCTTTTGCTTTCTGGAAGACCCTGTGTACAGAAATAAGGAACTAAACGTAATCTGATGATTTCTTTGGACATGAAAACTAATTCTGCTATGTAGCCTACTATAGTAATGATGTGTCCAAATGCTTCCCACAGTTCTGCCTAATAGTTTACTATATTGTTATGTATCCATTTACAATAACCATTACAGGTATGTATTCAATTGCACTGCTGGAAAATCCGATTTAGGCTAGAACAGGGGTGCCCACACTCGGTCCTGGAGGGCCGGTGTCCTGCAGAGTTTAGCTCCAACCCTAATCAAACACACCTGAAGCAGCTAATCAAGCTCTTACTAGGCATACTAAAAACTTCCAAGCAGGTGTGTTGAGGCAAGCGGGAGCTAAACTCTGCAGGACACCGGCCCTCCAGGACCGAGTTTGGGCACCCCTGGGCTAGAAGTTTTGTTTTGGGACACAGACAATGGTTTCTAGCTGGTCTGCAATGGTTATTTACATTGTGTAAGCTGCAAGACCATAAGTCAAGCAAGAAACCAGCTGGTCAGTCCAGTCCAACAGGTTTTTGGAACATGACAGTTGGTCAACCATTTAATGACCGGCTTGAACCAGCTAATGGAAACTTTTTGTTCCAAAACATATAGTAGTTTAATTAGATTTTCCAACAGGACAGTGTCAACCACTCTATACACATGTTCAAAGTAAGAATAAGAATAAAAATAAGAATAGTTTGGCAGAAATATTATTCTTAATGTTCTCAAGTCACCTACGTTAAAATATGCAGGACCGCCGGATTAATATTGTTACCTGTCGTTCTGTTTCTTCAGATGTATCATCCGTCTGAGTGCTTGTTTCACGGTCTTGCTTTTTGAAAGGGAAATTTAAAAAGCATAAAAAACAAAAGAAGGCTTGTGTCCATATTTGTCCAAACTCTGAGAAGTACCAAACAAGTACAAATATAATGGCGACGTAGCTCCGCCAAGTGTGCATTGTTAAAAAGGTCCAGGTTCAGAAAGAAATTATTTTGCATTAGATTGCTTAATTCGTCCACTTAAACGCAACACATTATCCCTCTCCTCTGCTTTCATCCAGACAGACGAGACTCGTACTGAATGCAGAAACGAAAGGCAAGTGTTTATGGTTTGAGCAACTTCCGATTGTAATGTGATCGGTGCACTTGAAGGTGTAGCATTTTGCCCTCCATAGAGCTTCTGCGGAATCTTTACTATAATCTGCTTTCTGTAGTAGGTAATGCATGTATGGTGCAGCTCAACAGTAATTTCATAAACAAATCGTTATCGTTCACTTTCAACTTTTCAAGTAGCATTATTCACTTTACTATAAAGAAAGTAAAGCACGCACCATGCTATAACATCAAGCATATGGTGAAGTACTTCACTCATTTGCCTTTCTTCTGTGGCGCGCACTCCGTGCCAAAATCAAACGTTCGAACGACCGACCGACCGACCGATCGAACGTCAAACCAAACGTCTATCCGAACGTCTTGAGCTTTGTGAGTCTTACACTGCAGGTGACCCACGTGTAGACTTGTGCCGGTATTCGGTGATGCGATATATCACGTTAATGAATATGCACGGTATTGTTATCGTGGGCACTTCTAAATACCGTGAATAATTATATATAACAAATTATTCAGAATTTTGAATGCATTTTAAGAATACTTTTCCCATCAACTGGTCAAAATGCACAACACCGCTGTATGCTGCATGAAAGATGTGTGTGCACTTGATGTAAACAAGCGCGGACGAGAAGCACCTGGCGGAACATGTGAGAGGCGCTCTGGATGAAAGCGCACTTTCACTCTCTGACAGCAGATGGCGCTAAACTGCAGAAATAATAATAATAATTATAATAATAATAATTCATTTAAATGCAGCCGTAACCCCGGAAGCCCTGTAAACAAAGCAGCTGCTCTAACTTCTGTTTCTGAATCATTTTAAAATGATTTAAACAGCCATTCAGATTTGTGTATTTGCTATGATGTTCATCACAGCGCCAAATACTTCAATATTTAGACTTAATAGGCTATTTATTTTCCAATTTTTTTTACATTTTAATCTGGACTACAACATGCCCTAGATATTGTTTGAAAGTGTTTTGATTCTTTATTGTTCGGTCACACTTTACATTAGGGCTTCATTAGTTAACATTAGTTAATTCATTAGTTAACAAACTGCCAATGAAAAATTCTTCTGAACATTCATTAATCTTAGGTATTCCAATATTTAATCCAATATTTAATAACAGGTTGTTAAAATCGAAAGTTGCAACTGTGTTATTTAATGAGCTAACATGAACTGCAGATGAAAATTAGCCTGAATGACTAAATCTGGCACATTTACATAGTAGACTTGGTTACTCATGTTAATTAATGTGTATTGTCCCTTTAAAAAAAAAAAAAAAAACTAAGACTTGTATTTTTTTAAACAAAGATTAATAATTTATGTAGCAAATGTAGCTATTGCTCATTGTGAATGTTAATGCAT